GAATTATTTAGGCTATATTATTTCAAATATTTCAAGGCTATAGCCTACAAATAAATACATTGTGAATCATTTGCTAGTGCTACACATTAGGCTGGCAGGGACATTAAGCACTCAGCATTTAAACAACATTTCTTTGTATTCAATTATTATAGTCTATAAATTGCACATATAGGCTGTGACTTACTTAGAATCAAATACAAAACAAACAAAAAATGCCTTATTAGGCTCCATCTACAGTGCCTTTGAATTCATTTTTAGAAACATGAGTTTTGCCAGTCTGTGGCTTCAGGCTCATACGATGGTGCCTGGAGAGCAGGCCAGCAGCGGAGAATACCCTCTCAGTGCTTGCAGAGCCACTGGGGATGCTAAACACCTTTCGGGCCACTTTTGCCAGGCTGGGAAGGGATGTGTGGTTGTTTTTTTATTTTTCTGTAGGTAGGCCTAAAGGATTTGAGGTAAAAATAACCCTATCAAAACAGAAAGCTCCTTGAAAGAGGTAATATGCCAGGCCTATTGGGCCAAAATCAATGATGGCCTGTTGTATAGATAATATAACTAACTGTAAGTCGCTCTGGATAAGAGCGTCTGCTAAATGACTAAAATGTAAAATGTAGAAAAAATGGACAGAACCTTTAAGAGTTCTGATTTTTTTGTTTGTAAATACTTTGCTACAATGACACACTTAGCTAGCTACCCACCTCGTTCCTTTCTGTTAGCATGTGCACGAACTAAGTACACCATCATGCTTTTGGTATACCTGTCTTTTCAGATTCCACAATGATTCTTTAGTGGACACTACATCACCACACTCCCTCTCTTGCTCTTGGTCCTCATCTTTATAAGTCACCTTGATTTTTCACCTGTGTTTTATCAGTTTCTTTATGAAAATATTTAGCATAGTAGATGACAGTAGCTAAAGCAAGGGGCTATAGCAGCACACAAGCAGACTACAAATGCATGCTGGGCCGGGCATGCCCTGAGCGTGTGAAGTGAGCGCTACTGGAGCGTTACTGGAGTGAAATTGGAGCAGCGAGAAGGCCTATGCTCCAGCTTTTGGGAAATTTGCTCCACGCTCCAGTCAAATAGGGCAAGCTCAGCTCCTCACTCTACTCCAGCTCCGCTCCACTCACATACTCTGCTCCCGAAGTCCTCAGACATGGATGGACTTCGAATACTTACTTGTATCACAGGTGACCTGCCTGCTCACCCATGATCAGTACTTTTAATAAAAAATTTAAAAAATCAGCTTTATAACTGAAAATGTACAATTATTTGTGTAAACCTAACAGTGAAATATGACTGACTCATCCTCTGGCTTCAAAACGGAAGTCCAAACTCTCACGGTAGGCCTACGGTAGTTGCGGTAGTTGTGTGGTTACTCCTTTCCTTTCGACACACCCACTCCTTTCCACACACCCACTACTTTCCTTTCGACACACCCACTCGCCCATACTCCGGATATTGGGCTGCAGCTACCCCCTTCTCGATAGAAGGGAAGTACCTTGATCAAATAAAACCACAGATGCTCTTTAACAACCTGCTGTTCAATGACTGTGGTTCTCAAACAAAATATAACATGTACTTTTCATTTGGGCATGTTGGGTCATTTTGGTTCATTAGCCAACTGTAAATGTATCAATTAAAATCATGTTTTTGGTGTGTATTCTTTATGTAATGCAAACTTGAGCTGATTCAGCCTTTTGAAATGAGTGATGATCCTATCAATTCTTTCTTATCTATGTTTTGAAGTTGATGTATGTAGCTTACTGCATCTAGTACGAAACTGGTATGACCTCACCAGAGATAGTAATGTAGGCTGTTGTAACCACATCCTATCAGTCAGATGCAGCCCCATGTATACTGATCCAAAATATGCAACATGCAATAATTTCAAAGATTTTACTGAGTTACAGTTCATATAAGGAAATCAGTCAATTGAAATAAATCTATGGATTTTACATGACTGGACAGGGGTGCAGCCCACCCACTGGGGAGCCAGGCCCAGCCAATCAGAATGAGTTTTTCCCCACAAAAGGGCTTTACTACAGACAGAAATACTCATTTTTTATTTCAGCTCATGAAACACGGGACCAACACTTTAAATGTTGCGTTTATATTTTTGTTCAGTATACTGTAGCTCAGCTCAGCTTTCACCCTTTCAGTGTTAGACAGAGACATCAACTGACTAGTGTTGTCAGCCAAGCTATTCATTCTGTACGTGCCAGTTCAATGTGGACCCTAAGAGAGCCAATTGACAGGGCAAGGAGATAGACCAGATATCTGAATGAATCATTGAAGGTCATCTTGACTCATTGGAGTACAACTACAGTGTAATAATAATGTAAAGTACTTTACATTGAGGAGTACTTTACATTGAGAAGTACTTTACATCGAGGAATTTTGAGGACTTCCCTTCTGTCAGTCCAGGGTTGAGGTTCTATGAGACATCACAAGAAAGTAGGTGTACTGTTGTTGGTGCTGCAGCCTCGTTGAAACAACGTTTACACGATGAGCTGTCACAAAATCTCTCGAGACTGCACTTTTGCAGTACATACATTTTTCTCTCACAGTATCTTGCACCCCTTGTTTTTTTCCTCGTGAGAATGTCTTCTGGGTCGTTACATATGATTTCGTTCACTTTCTGACTGCACCCCTTTTGAGTTGAACAAAACGTTTCATACATGTTTGCCCATGGTGGAAGTGGTCAGAAAGTGACTTTTTGGACCTGAATGCCAAAACATTCAGGAGATAGGGTGCTCAAAGTTGACCCATGTTTTACAGTTTGACAACCCTGTTTGTTAGCTTTCAAAGCGATGAAGACATGGATGTCTCATGGTAGGGTGGGGGTATGCAAAATGGGTAAACTTGGAATGTTTTGGCATTCAGGTCCAAAAAGTCACCTTCTGAGCCCTTACACTATGGCCAAACATGTATGGAAAGTTTCGTTCAAATTAAAGGAGTGCAGTCAGAAAGTGATTGAAATAATAATATAATATAATATGGAATGACCCTTCATTTGAATTGACATACAGGCCTATACTTCAGAATCAGCAATGTTACAGCTAAACAGGAAATGACTGGCTATGACACATAATATAAAGCATGTTTGTTTTTTCAGAAATTGAAGTATGTGAAAATGTGCTGAGAAATATGATGGATTGAATTCACTGTAAAAGTCAGCAGGGACTGAGTGAAAAAGTTACTTGGCCAGTTTGTGGTGAAGGTTTTGAGTATTGACCTTTAATCAAGTTAGTCAACATCACGGTCATGTCGGTAAGTTAGCGTAACCCATGTTGTATTCCTGTAAACAGGGGTCTTGACTTCCTCTCTGCTTGCAGTTTCGACCACCCGCTGCACCAACACACGTGCACAAAGACAGGAAGTGTCTTAGTCTCGTCTCAATGCCATCTCCATGCACACACACACCACCACCAGAAAAATAACACACACACACACCACTACATACACCATACTCACATCTCTGTATCCACACGGTACACTTGCTGCATTACATAAAAACACTCGGGTCCACAGCGGGAGAAGAAAGTCACAGCTTTAACCAAACTTTCACCACACGTTCATGACGTGTACAATGAAAACAACATGCACCTCCACTGCGGTCTGGTGTTGTGCATGCTTTAGTGACAAACAGTGTGACATTTAGGCCCTTGCCTTTTGACTCATGGAAAGACTGCCTTGCAAGGATGTAGACCTGAGTCTCCAGATGTAACGATCCTTAACCTTTTTGTCTCACAGACCGAGCAAGCAATGGCTCCTCTCCCCCTCCCCATCCTCCTCCAAGGATGTTTTGATTAACACAAACTAGGTCAAACTAAATCTGTCAGCCAACCATCTGAGGGACCAACTCCGCTATTAGGTTGTTGTAGAATGACACTCCACCGGAAAATTATTCTGCATTAACACACATTAGTATAATCGTAATGCAGTGTAACACTTGTGTTAATGAGTCAGTAGGTGGACTTATTGACTGATAGTAAGTCAGGCTTTCAGAATACAGTTTTATTTTTTTAAGGAGAGTGGGTTTCCACTCCTTTTCGTATTTTTTGTGATTTAATGAGAGAGACAGGAGTGAATGGAAGGGAAAAACAGTATTGAGTAAAGAGGTAGACCTGTGATTAGATCCCAGCTAGCTAGTGGGCCATACAGTAAGTTCTGGAAGGCGACAGCATTACCGGACAGACCAACCCCAGCCTGTCCAGTAAATATAAAAAAACAGACTTGTTTTCCTGTAGAGAGATGAGCCCTGCTGATGGGCGTTCTTAAAATGCAAACATCACAAAACTGTTGTGAAAAACATGAGATGCCACAGTGACCACAGAAACAGAACTGTTAGTCTTATGTAGACTATCATTACAGGAACAACATGATCAGTACAGGAACTAAAGCATGCAAAAGTATTAAAATTAAATAGTAGTAAAAGTTGGCTGACGCCTGGAAAATAGGCGTAGGCCCAATGCCATCAAATATGTAAACAAAAATATACAATTGAGAATCAATTCAACATTTAAAAGTGGTAAAAAAATATATTGTCAATCTATACAGCAAAATAGAATGTACGGCTAAAGATGTTGAAATTCCATGCACAAGTTAAATTGTGGTGGTAATTACAAGACTCAAGTTCTACCTGCTGCATCAGGGTCAAGGACCATAAAAAGCATTCTCCTAGCCTCTGTATGAACAACCATTTACAGTGTGTGATGTCAGTCACATACAATGCTGTGTATACTTAAGTAGCTACAGTATATAGGTAGCTTGCCTTGAGGTTGAATGACTGACATAAGTGTACATCAATGATGCAAGCCCTTGCTACTAAACACTACCTGAGAAGATATCTTTCAAGGTCCTTTGTTGATATCATGTATTACAGTATGTTGACATCATTGTCTCCTAGTCAGCTGACATGGGCCTCCGTTTGGACCCAAAGTAAAGATGGCTGCCGTGCAACATCAGTAACAACCCATCTAAGGGTGGTGCGCACGTCTGATGGTGGTGCGCATGTCTTCATAGACGTCGCTAGTCCTGACCTGTGTTGGTCTCATCGTTGAACGCCATGCCTTTAACTGGGAAGACAAGAGATAATGGTCAGATATGGTACTATTAGTAGGCTATATTATTAACAACAACAATTTTTTTTTTTTTTCCAACATTTACCTGACACTCTTATCCAGAGCAACTTACAGGAGCAATTAGGGTTAAGTGCCTTGCTCAAGGGCACAGCAACACATTTTTCACCTAGTCGGCTCAGGGATTCGAACCAGCGAACTTTCAGTTACTAGCCCAATGCTCTTAACCGCTAGGCTACCTGCCGCCAGTGTCTTTAGAAGGGGGACGGATCAGAAGTGCTCGTGTTTCAGTAAATATATTTTGTATTGAATTGAAATTAATTGAACTTACATTAACACATTGCAAATGTCAAAAATATACATATACATACATACACACACACACACACACACACACACACACACACACACACACTTGAGTAAGATGAGATGGAATATGCGGGGGCAGAATTTACGCAAGACCCCAGAAGCAGTTCGTTCAGTGGTAGTGTTTGATTTGATCTACATTGATCGTATTTCATGAGTTATAACACAACTCATGAAATACGATCAATGTAGATCAAATCAAACACTACCACTGAACATGTCTAGTGCAAGGAGCTATTTCCTGTCAAATATGTTGTTGCAGTACTGATAATAGAACTTCCCCAATAGATTCCATCAGGTCTACATATATGAGTCAAAGCAAAAGGCTGAAGTTAAAAACGGTGCATTTCCCTACCAAAGACAGTCAGTAGAGACAGTGCTGATGTGGCAATCTTGCCACCCGACACACACACATGAAAAAATACTATAGTATACTATGATATAAATACTGTAGAATTCACTGTAGTGTTTTTGTGGACTAAAGTAGTATACACAGTTAACTATAGTATAAATACAGTAGTAAAATAACTGAATTATATCCTATTGTATTTACTGTAGTGTTTTTGCGGACTGTAATATACTGTAGTATTTATAGTAGTGTTTCTGCGTACTAAAGTAGTACTTACTGTAGTATACTGTAGTATTTACAGTTAACTATAGTATAAATACTGTAATAAATTAACTGTATTATTTACTATAGTATTTAATGTAGTTTTTTCCGGTTTGTTTACTGTAGTATTTACTGTAGTATACACTGTAGTATACTGTAGTATTTACTGCAGTGTTTTTGCAGATTGTATACTGTAGTATTTACTGTAGTGTTTTTGAGGACATTACTGTAGTATTTACTATAGTGTTTTAGTTGTATTATCTTTGACATAGAAGTGGAGGCTTTTTCCTTGAGGAAACCTACTGGAGAAATACTAAAAGAGAAAATGTTCCATAACCTGTAGGTAGGTAGGTAGGACTGGGGTCTGAACAGATAGTTCAGAGCTTCTGTTCTTTTCTATAACCTGGCACAAATTGGGATACGGGGGAGGGGAATGGGCAGGGTATATGCAAATGAAATACTGTAGTATTTACTATCGTTAAAGTCTAGCGTTTTTGCAGATGTAATGTTTTTGCAGACAATACTGTAGTATTTACTACAGTATTCTACAGTCTACTACAACATTATATAGTAAGTACTATACATGATCGAGGGATACTACAGTGTATAGTATTGTACAGTATATTACAGTTTACTACAGAATTATATAGTAAGTACTGTAGTATTCTATAGTAAACTGTAGTATGTTTTCATGTGGGCACACACACACACACACACACTTTACTGTAGTACTTACCCTGGGGATGACCCAGATGAAGAGGATAACCAGACTCAGGAGAAGCACAGAGCCAGCAGTGACAGCTGAGACCAGCACCAGATACCTGGGAATGCCTAGCCCTGAGGACGCACCATTCTGGTCATCTGTGGTACAGCAACACACCAGAGTAGAACACATTTTTTAATTCAGTTCAGTACATATTATTTAAAATATCCCCAGGGGCAATTCATGTTATAACAGAGATGTTGAAGAATACCATACAACTCAACAAATTGACCAATCTAAACTTGTTTAGAAGTTACAGCCTCAAGTTAGGATTTGTTCCTATGAGACTGCGCCACTCAGAGCTCACATTAAGACAATGGTCCTGAATCGTTCCCTAACCCTCCTCTTGACCCTAACCCTTCAATATCTGCACCCACCACTTACAGTGGGGAAAAAAGTATTTAGTCAGCCACCAATTGTGCAAGTTCTCCCACTTAAAAAGATGAGAGGCCTGTAATTTTCATCATAGGTACACGTCAACTATGACAGACAAATTGAGGAAAAAAAATCCAGAAAATCACATTGTAGGATTTTTTATGAATTTATTTGCAAATTATGGTGGAAAATAAGTATTTGGTCAATAACAAAAGTTTCTCAATACTTTATTATATACCCTTTGTTGGCAATGACACAGGTCAAACGTTTTCTGTAAGTCTTCACAAGGTTCACACACACTGTTGCTGGTATTTTGGCCCATTCCTCCATGCAGATCTCCTCTAGAGCAGTGATGTTTTGGGGCTGTCGCTGGGCAACACGGACTTTCAACTCCCTCCAAATATTTTCTATGGGGTTGAGATCTGGAGACTGGCTAGGCCACTCCAGGACCTTGAAATGCTTCTTACAAAGCCACTCCTTCGTTGCCCGGGCGGTGTGTTTGGGATCATTGTCATGCTGAAAAGACCCAGCCACGTTTCATCTTCAATGCCCTTGCTGATGGAAGGAGGTTTTCACTCAAAATCTCACGATACATGGCCCCATTCATTCTTTCCTTTACACGGATCAGTCGTCCTGGTCCCTTTGCAGAAAAACAGCCCCAAAGCATGATGTTTCCACCCCCCATGCTTCACAGTAGGTATGGTGTTCTTTGGATGCAACTCAGCATTCTTTGTCCTCCAAACACGACGAGTTGAGTTTTTACCAAAAAGTTCTATTTTGGTTTCATCTGACCATATGACATTCTCCCAATCCTCTTCTGGATCATCCAAATGCACTCTAGCAAACTTCAGATGGGCCTGGACATGTACTGGCTTAAGCAGGGGGACACGTCTGGCACTGCAGGATTTGAGTCCCTGGCGGCGTAGTGTGTTACTGATGGTAGGCTTTGTTACTTTGGTCCCAGCTCTCTGCAGGTCATTCACTAGGTCCCCCCGTGTGGTTCTGGGATTTTTGCTCACCGTTCTTGTGATCATTTTGACCCCACGGGGTGAGATCTTGCGTGGAGCCCCAGATCGAGGGAGATTATCAGTGGTCTTGTATGTCTTCCATTTCCTAATAATTGCTCCCACAGTTGATTTCTTCAAACCATGCTGCTTACCCATTGCAGATTCAGTCTTCCCAGCCTGGTGCAGGTCTACAATTTTGTTTCTGGTGTCCTTTGACAGCTCTTTGGTCTTGGCCATAGTGGAGTTTGGAGTGTGACTGTTTTGAGGTTGTGGACAGGTGTCTTTTATACTGATAACAAGTTCAAACAGGTGCCATTAATACAGGTAACGAGTGGAGGACAGAGGAGCCTCTTAAAGAAGAAGTTACAGGTCTGTGAGAGCCAGAAATCTTGCTTGTTTGTAGGTGACCAAATACTTATTTTCCACCATAATTTGCAAATAAATTCATTAAAAATCCTACAATGTGATTTTCTGGATTTTTTTTCCTCAATTTGTCTGTCATAGTTGACGTGTACCTATGATGAAAATTACAGGCCTCTCTCATCTTTTTAAGTGGGAGAACTTGCACAATTGGTGGCTGACTAAATACTTTTTTCCCACACTGTATCTACCACAATACTCCAGTATCCCTGCACATTGTACATCTGGTATTGGCACTGACCCTGTATATAAGCTTCCTATGTTATTTATTGTGTTGTTTTTTATTTATTGTCTTATTAGTTATAATATTTTGATATTGAATACTGCACTGTAGGGTAGGGCTTGCAGGTTAAGCATTTCACTGTACTTGTGCATGTGACCCAAAAATTGAATTTGAACATTGAAGGGTATAGTAAGTGCCAAATGGAGGGTTAGGGAGCGAATCAGGACTGGCTGAGACACTCACCATTCACCACCAGCAAAACAGCTCCTTCCCCCTCAGTTTTGGGTTTCTTAGAAACACCGTACAAACACCAGTAGGCCCCAGAGTCTTCTATGGTCAGGTTTGTGATGGTGATGTCCATTTTGTTGAGTCCTCCGTTAGTCGTCAATCTGAGTTGGAACCTTTCATGGATGGTGATTTTTCCTGTTTCCTGGTAATAGTAGAAGACTAGTATATTTTTTGTCAGGCGCATAAACACACTCAGGTTGTTTTGGTCTTGTAGAGTGGTGCTGCAGTGGATGGTCATGGTGTCTCCCTTCTGCTTTCGGACCAGTAGTCCATTGTTCCCTTTTTATGAGCAGATGGGAGAATGGAAGAAACACACACACCATATGTGTCACATGTTTTGTTCTTTAAGGATAAACCAATACCAATCAGTCAGTTAAGGAGATTTTCACTACCCTAAACTAGTTTCACAGAAGTCTGGGTCTATTTTTGGAAACGTATTATGATTACAAGGAGCCATCTACTACTCTCATTTGAATATTGCACTTGAAAAGTAAATGACTTGAAAACAGCCTGTTGTATTGTACCTCTATGATATTGCAACTCTAGATTACAGTGGACTCTAGATTACAGTGGACTCCTGAAAAAGGCAATAGCTTGGGACTGTCGTGCCAGAGCATCAGGAGCAAGCTATTAACAATCATGTAATTGAAATGAGACTGGAAAACTGTATTGTACTTAAAGAATTCAAACTTAATCAAAGTGCACTTATCAGGAGTCGACTGTACATAATATATTTTAAATGTAAAACTGACTAGATGAAATGTTAAATAAAAAACCACCCCTTTCCATGAACTCAAAAAGATGTCCACCTCCCAATAGAAAACTAAAATAAACACCACTCACCTTTCCCAGCCAGGGTGCTGCAAAGGAGACAGAGGAAGATTGCACAACACAGACAGAAAGCAGACATTGTGCTAAAACAACATGAGCTTCACATCAAAACTAAACTGAGCCTTCAAATAACAGGAAATATATGTCTATACCACAGTGGTGTCTGCCCTTGAACCTCTCCACCAATAGGAACATGAGGTATGCCTACTACAGTGGGGGAAAAAAGTATTTAGTCAGCCACCAATTGTGCAAGTTCTCCCACTTAAAAAGATGAGAGAGGCCTGTAATTTTCATCATAGGTACACGTCAACTATGACAGACAAAATCAGAAAAAAAAATCCAGAAAATCACATTGTAGGATTTTTAATGAATTTATTTGCAAATTATGGTGGAAAATAAGTATTTGGTCAATAACAAAAGTTTCTCAATACTTTGTTATATACCCTTTGTTGGCAATGACACAGGTCAAACGTTTTCTGTAAGTCTTCACAAGGTTTTCACACACTGTTGCTGGTATTTTGGCCCATTCCTCCATGCAGATCTCCTCTAGAGCAGTGATGTTTTGGGGCTGTTGCTGGGCAACACGGACTTTCAACTCCCTCCAAAGATTTTCTATGGGGTTGAGATCTGGAGACTGGCTAGGCCACTCCAGGACCTTGAAATGCTTCTTATGAAGCCACTCCTTCGTTGCCCGGGCGGTGTGTTTGGGATCATTGTCATGCTGAAATACCCAGCCACGTTTCATCTTCAATGCCCTTGCTGATGGAAGGAGGTTTTCACTCAAAATCTCACGATACATGGCCCCATTCATTCTTTCCTTTACACGGATCAGTCGTCCTGGTCCCTTTGCAGAAAAACAGCCCCAAAGCGTGATGTTTCCACCCACATGCTTCACAGTAGGTATGGTGTTCTTTGGATGCAACTCAGCATTCTTTGTCCTCCAAACACGACGAGTTGAGTTTTTACCAAAAAGTTCTATTTTGGTTTCATCTGACATTCTCCCAATCCTCTTCTGGATCATCCAAATGCACTCTAGCAAACTTCAGACGGGCCTGGACATGTACTGGCTTAAGCAGGGGGACACGTCTGGCACTGCAGGATTTGAGTCCCTGGCGGCGTAGTGTGTTACTGATGGTAGACTTTGGTCCCAGCTCTCTGCAGGTCATTCACTAGGTCCCCCCATGTGGTTCTGGGATTTTTGCTCACTGTTCTTGTGATCATTTTGACCCCACGGGGTGAGATCTTGCGTGGAGCCCCAGATCGAGGGAGATTATCAGTGGTCTTGTATGTCTTCCATTTCCTAATAATTGCTCCCACAGTTGATTTCTTCAAACCAAGCTGCTTACCTATTGCAGATCCAGTCTTCCCAGCCTGGTGCAGGCCTACAATTTTGTTTCTGGTGTCCTTTGACAGCTCTTTGGTCTTTGCCATAGTGGAATTTGGAGTGTGACTGTTTGAGGTTGTGGACAGGTGTCTTTTATACTGATAACAAGTTCAAACAGGTGCTATTAATACAGGTAACGAGTGGAGGACAGAGGAGCCTCTTAAAGAAGAAGTTACAGGTCTGTGAGAGCCAGAAATCTTGCTTGTTTGTAGGTGACCAAATACTTATTTTCCACCATAATTTGCAAATAAATTCATTAAAAATCCTACAATGTGATTTTCTGGAAAAAAATTTCTCAATTTGTTTGTCATAGTTGACGTGTACCTATGATGAAAATTACAGGCCTCTCTCATCTTTTTAAGTGGGAGAACTTGCACAATTGGTGGCTGACTAAATACTTTTTTCCCCCACTGTATATCAAGAAATGACGACATAACATACAGAGAATCAAGACCTGAACTTATTTAAATTGCAATTGTGGGTGTCAGTGTGTGACAGAGTCATAGGTTAGGGATAAATGAGGTTAAACAACAAAACACAATTATTTGCTGAGTATTAATTTGTGGGTTTGTCATTCAAAGACAGTGACTTCAAGTACAACTGGAATAGTACGCTACAACAACCATTTCCAATGGACACACGCAATGAACTTTTCCAAGTTAGTGCACAATGTTGTGACCTTTTATTATTGAGACTATAGGCAGGTAGATATAACGAATCAGAGTGTGTGATACCAATGACTTCTAACTCTATTGATGCTTTCTACGTGCAACCTGGGATCAGGTGATATGTGTAACACTAGACTCCCTACTCCCAGAATGGTTCACTACATAACATATCCTCTACTCCCAGACATGAGAGGTGAATGGTTCACTACATAACATATACTCACCACAACATATTTTACAGCATATTATATAACATTACAACGCCCTTAGAAAGCCACACTGTGGAGGAAGTGTGTATACACACCTGATTCAATAATTGTGGTCTAAATTGAAGACCATGGTCAGCTGCTTAGTGAATCAGGTTAGAGTGGGTCTGGTCAGCTGCTTAGTGAATCAGGTTAGAGTGGGTCTGGTCAGCTGCTTAGTGAATCAGGTTAGAGTGGGTCTGGTCAGCTGCTTAGTGAATCAGGTTAGAGTGGGTCTGGTCAGCTGCTTAGTAAATCAGGTTAAAGTGGGTCTGGAACTAAAGCCAGTGCACACAGCACCTACGTAAACCTCAAGTCAGGGTGTGAGAACATCGCTCTCTAGTGGGGGGAGAGGTGTCTGCATAAAGCCAACAATTTGGGGCTTTTAGGGGGCCAGGCCTCAGAGATGTGGAAACACAAAAGGAAACATTTCTGGGCCAAACACTGGAGCGAAGCCTGATACGGAAAATACCCTGTTAGAAAACATTTGAAATGCATCCTCTTTTCTTCCCCCTTCACTTGAGTTCATCACTGATCTCAAGTGAGGTACCCATACAGAAAAGTTGTATATTGAAATAATGTATATGGTGGTAAATTCAAAATGCATTTCAATATATTTTGTAATGTATGTTCATGAAATATATAAATAAAATATTGATTTACATATTGTACATCTGTACAGTATGTAACATATGGCAATTGTAAATGATGATTGAACATACAGTATATCAAATGAATGTGATCTAAATGTAAGTCGCTCTGGATAAGAGCGTCTGCTAAATGACTAAAATGTAAATGTAAAATCAAGACATGAAGTAGAAAGGGATAATGTTTTTTAAAAGTCTCAATAATTTTTCTATGCTGAAGTCTGAAATATTCATTTGTGGATATGGTCCCTCTGGGCAAAAAAAGTATTTGATCCCCTGCTGATTTTGTACGTTTGCCCACTGACAAAGACATGATCAGTCTATAATTTTAATGGTAGGTTTATTTGAACCGTGAGAGACAGAAAAACAACAAAAAAATCCAGAAAAACGCATGTCAAAAATGTTATAAATTGATTTGCATTTTAATGAGGGAAATAAGTATTTGACCCCTCCGCAAAACATGACTTAGTACTTGGTGGCAAAACCCTTGTTGGCAATCACAGAAGTCAGACGTTTCTTGTAGTTGGCCACCAGGTTTGCCACATCTCAGGAGGGATTTTGTCTCACTCCTCTTTGCAGATCTTCTCCAAGTCATTAAGATATTGAGGCTGACGTTTGGCAACTCGAACCTTCAGCTCCCTCCACAGATTTTCTATGGGATTAAGGTCTGGAGACTGGCTAGGCCACTCCAGGATCTTAATGTGCTTCTTCTTGAGCCACTCCTTTGTTGCCTTGGCCGTACGTTTTGGGTCATTGTCATGCTGGAATACCCATCCACGACCCATTTTCAATGCCCTGGCTGAGGGAAGGAGGTTCTCACCCAAGATTTGACGGTACAAGGCCCCGTCCATTGTCCCTTTGATGCAGTGAAGTTGTCCTGTCCCCTTAGCAGAAAAACACCCCCAAAGCATAATGTTTCCACCTCCATGTTTGACGGTGGGGATGGTGTTCTTGGGGTCATAGGCAGCATTCCTCCTCCTCCAAACACGGCGAGTTGAGTTGATGCCAAAGAGCTCGATTTTGGTCTCATCTGACCACCACACTTTCACCCAGTTCTCCTCTGAATCATTCAGATGTTCATTGGCAAACTTCAGATGGGCCTGTATATGTGCTTTCTTGAGCAGGGGAACCTTGCGGGCGCTGCAGGATTTCAGTCCTTCACGGCATAGTGTGTTACCAATTGTTTTCTTGGTGACTATGGTCCCAGCTGCCTTGAGATTTTTGACAAGATCCTCCCGTGTAGTTCTGGGCTGATTCCTCACCGTTCTCATGATCATTGCAAATCCACGAGGTGAGATCTTGCATGGAGCCCCAGGCCGAGGGAGATTGACAGTTATTTTGTGTTTCTTCCATTTGCGAATAATCGCACCAACTGTTGTCACCTTCTCACCTAGCTGCTTGGCGATGGTTTTGTAGCCCATTCCAGCCTTGTGTAGGTCTACAATCTTGTCTCTGACATCCTTGGAGAGCGCTTTGGTTTTGGCCATGGTGGAGAGTTTGGAAGCTGATTGATTGATTGCTTCTGTGGACAGGTGTCTTTTATACAGGTAACAAGCTGAGATTAGGAGCACTCCCTTTAAGAGTGTGCTCCTAATCTCAGCTCGTTACCTGTATAAAAGACACCTGGGAGCCAGAAATCTTTCTGAATGAGAGGGGGTAAAATACTTATTTCCCTCATTAAAATGCAAATCAATTTATAACATTTTTGACATGCGTTTTTCTGGATTGTTGTTGTTGTTATTCTGTCTCTCACTGTTCAAATAAACCTACCATTAAAATTATAGACTGATCATTTCTTTGTCAGTGGGCAAATGTACAAAATCAGCAGGGGATCAAATACTTTTTTCCCCTCACTGTAACTGTAAAAAGCTCAGTTTATGAAATCGATTAACTTTGGAAGGATTCATACCTCAGTAGGGTAGAGTCCCAGGGGCAAGGTTCTGTCATCTGTGCCATGGGGGTGGAGTGTTGGGCAGGGAACTGTCAAGGGAGCTGGCTTGGTGGTGTTGAGGTGGTCCCATCAGAGTAGAGCATCCTGGGATATTTTTCCCATAGACCTGCTGTTAGTGGGAAAGATGTTAGCAGGCAGTTGATCACCAGAGAAAGCGATGGTTGGCTGGCACAGTATTTGAATTAAACATTATTCACCTGCTTTCCTGAAGTAAGGATTCACTCATTTGGGAAGAGTTCCCCAGATACCTTCCCATCGGGGGAGGAGGCGGTATAGGCTTGTTCTGTAAAACACATCAACAAATTCTCCAAATGGTTAGTACCATTCTCACAGTTAAAATACAACGATCATCCACTATTTTTAACTGACATGATTTAAAGTGAATACCTCGGCCTTGGGCTCAGTTTTGTGTCTATATAGAATATTTAAACAGGTTCCTTACAGATTTGTCTTTGTCTCAGATAGATGAACCTCCTTTCATCTCCAGAAGATCCAGCTGAGTCATCCTCCACTGTTCTGAACCGCTACAGCAGGGGTCTCAGGCTCAGCCCCCGGCCGGCTGCCAGTCTGGCTCTGAGGGTTGGCCTCGGGTTAGTCTGGCTTGGTGATGGTCATTATGGAAGGATCCACAACATCTACTCTGGATATCTGTAACAAGTGGGAGACGTCAGTCCACTCCGCTCATGTCACCTACAGAACAATCACTAACTGACACACTCAGAATAGTAATTTCATTACTCATAAAATAAAGCTTAAATTACCCTTTCTCCTGAAGTAGAAATCTCCATGTGTAGTATTTACTCCACCATTCCACGTTGGTCCCACCATGGGGGTGATTGGAGATGGTGTTGGAGCATTCCATTGCTCGCAGGGATGCTGGCTGTTGGGAGGGTTGGGGGGATGCCCTCCCTCTTCGCAGGGATGATATCTTGGTATTGAGCTTGGTATTGGTATTGAGCTGCCCCTGCTCAGCTGGTAGAACACGGCGCTTGTAACGCCAGGGTAGTGGGTTCGATCCCCGGGACCACCCATACACAAAAATGTATGCACGCATGACTGTAAGTCGCTTTGGATAAAAGTGTCTGCTAAATGGCATATTAATTAATTAATTAAATATTAATCTCCTGCTGCAAGTTGTTCAGCAGGACCTGAATCTCACCCTAGAGGACATCAGGAGGTTTAGCAGACTGACACAAAGAGATAGGCTTCACACCATGCCCATTGGACCATCTTAAGGATTCTTTGTCACCCAACTCCAATTTCATTAGGAATGCCCCGATCTCAGCAGAATAATAGTGTATTTAGACAAACCTTACCAGTGAGCTCTGATGGGATGTGTCCCTGCTCCTGTGAGCTCTGACGGGATGTGTCCCTGCACCTGTGAGCTCTGATGGAATGTCTTGGTCACTGATAATGGAAAGTGAGCCAGATTAGAGCTCTATGATTCAGCAATGAAACATTCAGCACCCCATGACTATTGAAATGTACTAATGAAGTCGAACCTTGCTCCATTGGTGGTTGTTCACAGGGGAGCCATCATTTTCCATTGGCCATATTGTGATCCATATTGTGATTCCTGTAAAAGCTGGGGATTTTGGTAAAGTTACCAGAATTTTGCAATCAAATAAAGAGTCTAAGAGTACAGTAGCTAGCTAGCGATATCTGTATGAAGAACCTTTTTGTTTTAGCTCATTTGTAGCTAGTTAAAACTGCATCGCCTTTTTGTAAAACAAATGTATCTTGTTTTTTAGGTGGAGGATTGTTATCCATGGTGCTGTGGATGGTTACAGCAGGCTTGTTGTGTTTCTGAAGGCCTCTGACAACAACAGGAGTGCCACAGTCATGGAGTCAATCGAAGCAGCCAACACCTGCTACGGAATACCATCCCGGGTGAGATGTGACCAGGGTGGTGAAAACAACCGTATGTGTGCCTTCATGGAGCAGTTCAGGGGTGGTGAGAGGGGAAGTGCCCTCAGGGGAAGGAGCACTCACAACCGGAAGATAGAGCGGCTGTGGGGGGATGTCTGGCATGGAGTCGTTTACCATGACCTGATCACCTTCTTGGAGACAGAGCAGATCATCAACATCAACAATGAGGTTCACCTGTGGGCACTGCACTTTGTGTTCCTGTCACGGGTGAACAGAGATCTTGCTTTATTTCCCAGTCAGTGGAACCACCATGGGCTGAGGACTGAACAACGACAGTCACCTCTGCAGTTCTTCGTCTCAGGTGCCCTAGCAATGCAGAGGGCCAATCTGACAGCAGTAAGGGATTTGTTCGCCCCAGCTTCAACCACCATCACCTCTCAAGCCACCACCTCAGCTCCTCCAACCACCACCAGCACCACCACCTCAGCTCCTCCAACCACCACCAGCAGCACCTCAGCTCCTCCAACCACCACCAGCACCATCTCAGCTCCTCCAACCACCACCACCACCTCCTCAACTCCTCCAACCACCACCACCTCCTCAGCTCCTCCAACCACCACCATCTCAGCTCCTCCAACCACCACCATCTCAGCTCCTCCAACCACCACCAGCACCATCTCAGCTCTTCCAACCACCACCACCACCTCCTCAACTCCTCCAACCACCACCACCTCCTCAGCTCCTCCAACCACCACCATCTCAGCTCCTCCAACCACTACCAGCACCATCTCAGCTCCTCCAACCACCACCACCACCTCCACCTCCAACACCACCTCAGCTCCTCCAACCACCACCACCTCCTCAGCTCCTCCAACCACCACCTCAGCTCCTCCAACCACCACCACCACCACCTCAGCTCCTCCAACCACCACCACCACCACCACCTCAGCTCCTCCAACCACCACCACCACCTCAGCTCCTCCAACCACCACCACCAGCTCAGCTCCTCCAACCACCACCACCAGCTCAGCTCCTCCAACCACCACCAGCAACACCACCTCAGCTCCTCCAACCACCACTACCTCAGCTCCTCCAACCACTGGTGCCGCAGCTCTTTATTGTTCGGAAGGGGTGATTGTCCCACAAATCCAGTTCCCCATCAGCAACACACAGATGGAACTGTTGCGGACAATAAATCCATTGGAAGGCCCCAGAGGCAGCCTGGGAGTTGACATTCTACAGAGGGTTATGGCACACTCCCCCTCTTTCACACACTGTATGATTTGGTCTCTAGAAATGTACTACAGACATGTTCAACCCTTAACAAAGAGTGTCAAGGTGTATGGCCCCTCGGTGGGTTCAGAGATAGATCTGTGTTTAGGATGTGTTTAGGTACTGCTGGAGTTGCCAGTACGCAGTGGTCCCGACACCGTTGAGGTAACTAGACAACGTGCTGTAGCTGAACTGGAGCGGACCTTGACCAGAGTTTAAGAGTCTAAAATGGATTAAAGAAATAAAGATGTAGCGTCATACCCAAGAAGGCTTGAGGCTGTAATCGCTACCAAAGGTGCTTCAACAAAGTACTGAGTAAAGGGTCTGAATACTTATGTAAATGTGATATTTCAGTTTATTTTTTATATATTTGCAAAAATGTCTAAACCAGTTTTTGCTTTGTCATTATGGGGTATTGTGTGTAGATTGATGAGGGGAAAAAAGTAATTTAATCAATTTTAGAATAAGGTTGTAACGTACTAAAATGTGGAAAAAGTCTAGGGGTCTGAATACTTTCCGAATGCACTGTACTAACAACACAGACGGTAAGTAGATAAATGCTTAAATGTTTGATGTGCAGTTACATTTTCAAACACTTAATTGCTACTGTAGTTTAGTGCTACTAGATACAATTCTACACATTCTGTATGATAAAAATAACTATTTTTATCATAGCAGAAAATAGGTACATTAAGACATTCAAAAGAACAGGGTCGGAAATGTACAAGTCTTCAGCACATAGCTAGTACATATATGAAACAGTGGGAGAGGGAAGGCAGAACAAGTCCCACAGACTTCACCCTCCAATGTTCTACCTATTATCTGTCACTCTCCACTAAGGTGTGTTTATGCAACACTGAAATGCAGGGAATTCACAATACCCTAAAGGCATTGTAGGTGCTATGAAGAGGGAGCCTTAGTGTCACAGTAAACGCGTTTGCCTCTGGGTACGTTTTCTTCTGCTGCCCAGCGAGACTCCCTCGCGCTGTGTGGAGGAATTCGATGGTCAGGGTGTCCTCAAACCCCAGGGGTGGCACCACCGTTGCCCCAGTAGAAAACTCCAACACCATTGCCACTGTTAGAGGAGGACATTCTCCATCTGAGGAGTACACAGTAAAACTTTTAAAATACACATTTAATTCACAAATGGAATAATATGCAGTTACCGATAAACGTTAACAATTTAACTACTATCTTACCTTGCACCTTGGCCAGCGGCAGATGGTGTCGTTCCTCAACCACCGCCGGTTGCCGTATGGAATAGGTTACTTTAAACAGGTCCCTGGCAGTGGGAGGCTTTATGGAGTCCACAAAAAGTGCTCGGAAGCTGTCCGGGTGGTTCCCCAATGCCTCAAGCAGCCCAAGAGAGTTGAGAACATATTTGAACCTGTTATGGTTTAGAGACAGTATGTATATTTAAAGAAATAAGTGTTAAGGACAATATAGTGATGTGTATTGATTTAGGGGGGTGGACCGATTAAATACACTTACTGTATGTTAGAGGAGGTAATGACAAGTACTTCACAGATTTATAACAGCGTTGACGTACTGCTCCAAGGCCACCTGCATGCTCCCTTCAACAAATTGTTGAGCCACCAATTCAACCACACCATCCCTGTCCTCCATTGTCTTTACATTTACATTTTAGTCATTTAGCAGATGCTCTTATCCAGAGCGACTTACAGTTAGTGAGTGGATACATTTTTCATACTGGTCCCCCGTGGGAATCGAACCCACAACCCTGGCGTTGCAAGCGCCATGACAACGTTCCTTTTCAGCCTCAGTAGGCTCAGCCAGTCCTCCCATTTGTTCTTTACCTCTGATAGGTCCACTGCTTTTTTGATCTAGAATTTAAAAAATGTATGACAGGCAATCGAGAATTTTAAACACAGCAAAATAAATCATACATGTAAAAAGGATGATATATTATTTCCTTTTGCTGTTAGGGAGGACATAAAACGTACATTTTCCAAATGTGCTCTCAGAGTAGTGTGGTCCACCTCCTCCAGTCTGAGTGGAGGAGCAGGCTTCCCACACACTGCTGCGAAGAGTCGCTCAGAGAAGAAGTGTGGCCCAACCCCTCAATGGACCACACACACACTGACCATTTTCCCAATGATTCCATACAGGCCCTCATGTGATGCTAAAAATGTGTGCCAGCTTTATTATCCCTATGATATATCGCCCTGGACAAAGCATCTGAAAAAGCCTTTTCACTAATTGTTTTGTCTTAAATGTTGTATTTGACATGAAAGTCAGACGTTAATACAGGTAAAAACAAAGGAAGGCTTACCATGGACATCAAAGGACATCCGTTTCACTCCTTCCGGACCCTCGAAAATGTATGACAAATCGAATAAGGATTGATCCTAAGGGAAAATACTCTGACATTGAAGTTAAATACTACATTTTGTTTATAAACAAATGCTCTTTTTTTAAAAACTGTCTCTGGATCCGATGAGGGAGGTGAAGCTGAGGGAGAAGGAGAAAGTGACTTAGAAGGTGAGGGGTGATAAGAAGAAAAGAGTGAGGACGTAAAGGGTGAGGGGTGATAAGAAGGAAAGTTTGGTGATGAAGGAGGTGAGTGGAGAAGAGGCTGACGAGAGTTGAGGAGAGGGGACAGGTGAGAGGTGAGAAGAGAGCACAGGTGAGAGGTGTTGAGAGGGGGCAGGTGAGAGATGAGGCGATAGGATTGCCTGTAAATGGACAGAAACAACCACACACAAAGGTTATAATTATCAAGTAGTTCAACTGTAGTCCTATACAAACATCAAATATACACTGCACAAACACTTAAACACATCCTAGATCTGAATGAATGAAATAATCTTATTAAATACTTTTTTCTTTACATAGTTGAATGTGCTGACAACAAAATCACACAAAATGTATCAACCCATGGAGGTCTGGATTTGGAGTCACACTCAAAATTAAAGTGGAAAACCACACTACAGGCTGATCCAACTTTGATGTAATGTCCTTAAAACAAGTCAAAATGAGGCTCAGTAGTGTGTGTGGCCTCCACGTGCCTGTATGACCTCCCTACAACGCCTGGGCATGCTCCTGATGAGGTGGCGGATGGTCTCCCGAGGGATCTCCTCCCAGACCTGGACTAAAGCATCCGCCAACTCCTGGACAGTCTGTGGTGCAACGTGGCGTTGGTGGATGGAGCGAGACATGATGTCCCAGATGTGCTCAATTGGATTCAGGTCTGGGGAATGGGCGGTCCATAGCATCAATGCCTTCATTTTACATTTACATTTTAGTCATTTAGCAGACGCTCTTATCCAGAGCGACTTACAGTTAGTGGGTGCATACATTTTCATACTGGCCCCCCATGGGAAACGAACCCACAACCCTGGCGTTGCAAGCGCCATGCTCTACCAACTGAGCTACACGGGGCCAAGCATGATACTGCAACTCTCAGCTCCTGCTCAATGTTTAGCTGGGACCTGTACTTGGTCTTCAGTGCAGCAACAGCAGAGAAGCCAATCTCACAAAGATAAGATGTTGCAAAAGGAAGAAGAATGCCCATGGCCCTCTGCCCTAAGAGTGGATACTGCCTCTCTACACTCAGCCAGAATTCACTCAGTGTCTGTGATGTGAACCTCAGTCTCAATGTGGAGTCAGACGTCATATCAATGAACTGGTCCTCCTCTGCAGAGCTGAAACCAGTTGGAGCTGGTGCATTGAAAGGATCTCTCACCCAGTCATATTGGGAACTGTTTTCAGGGAAGTACTTTTTAAAGAATCCCATCAGTGATGAAATATGCTCCTTAATATATGGAATCACTGAGGTGGCATCATAGTCAGTAGTGTCAACAAATTCATGCAGGTTCTCGAATGAATCAGTATTTCCTTCATCAAGTCGCCTGTCCCACATTGCAAGCGTTCGAGTGAAAGAGCTGATCTTGTCTGTGACCTGAGGTGTTTATCTTTCCCTTGAAGCTGTAGATTTAGTTCATTTAGCTTTCCAAATATGTCACTCGGGTAGGCCAGTTTTGCCAGGAAGTTCTCATCACTAAATTTTTCTGCGAGGTCATACTTGTGCTCCTGCTCCGAAAAATTATTATCTGCTCTCTGAGCTCAAAAACTCGGGACAAGACTTTTCCTCGTGACAGCCACCTTGCTTCACTGTGAAACAGCACAGCTTCATGTTCAGCTCCCATCTCCTCACAGATAGCAGAGAAGACTCTTGTTTTTAGTGGTCTGGTGATTGGGGTGTATCAGCATGATTGGGGTGTAATGTCTTTAAGTGACGCCTTAATTTATTTGGCTTCATGCTGTCCGCTGCCAACATTTTTAGACACAGTAAACATACCGGTCTTTCCTCGTCTCCCACCGTAGTCGCAGTGAAGCCAAGCGCCCCAAAAGCGCCCCAAAATTTGAGAAGGACTGGCTTAAGCTAACTTGGCTAGCTCTTCCTAAAGCTACTAATATTGTCCCATTTAAAGAGGCTACAGTGACTTCTCAAATAATCAAAATGTTAACAGTAAGTCTACTACTCTATCTAGCAATGTCATATAATATTAGGACAGAAGTGTGAAGTGTTCACTAGCCATTTTGTGGTCTGAATGACACCCTAATCCAGGCTTGTTACTAGCAAAAAGCTACAGCTGCTAACGTCAGTCCTAGCTTATTGATGTTAAATTGAATTGCTAACGCTAGCTACTGCAACTAGCCTACTTGTTTGATCTTCTCCACAAGCTTCTCTCTCCACAAATATGTTTCTTCTGTCGCAGTCATTCTGTTAACAATTCCCTTATCTTATTAGGTATAACTTCACTATTTTATTGTCAAGCATTTGTAAGACTGTTCACCCCCGCCAAGTAAATTAGTTAGCCTTCCTCTTGCAGGAACTGCTGACACACTCCAGCCAAATGAGGTCTAGCATTGTCTTGCATTAGGAGGAACCCAGGGCCAACCGCACCAGCATATGGTCTCACAAGGGGTCTGAGGATCTCATCTCGGTACCTAATGGCAGTCAGGCTACCTCTGGCGAGCACATGGAGGGCTGTGCGGCCCCCCAAAGAAATGCCACCCCACACCATGACTGACCCACCGCCAAACCGGTCATGCTAGAGGATGTTGCAGGCAGCAGAACGTTCTCCACCGCGTCTCCAGACTCGTCTGTCACGTCTGTCACGTGCTCAGTGTGAACCTGCTTTCATCTGTGAAGAGCACAGGGCGCCAGTGGCGAATTTGCCAATCTTGGTGTTCTCTGGCAAATGCCAAACGTCCTGCACAGTGTTGGGCTGTAAGCACAACCCCCACCTGTGGACATCGGGCCCTCATATCACCCTCATGGAGTCTGTTTCTGACCGTTTGAGCAGACACATGCACATTTGTGGCCTGCTGGAGGTCATTTTGCAGGGCTCTGGCAGTGCTCCTCCTTGCACAAAGGCGGAGGTAGCGGTCCTGCTGCTGGGTTTTTGCCCTCCTACGGCCTCCTCCACGTCTCCTGATGTACTGGCATGTCTCCTGGTAGCGCCTCCATGCTCTGGACACTACGCTGACAGACACAGAAAACCTTCTTGCCACAGCTCTCATTGATGTGCCATCCTGGATGAGCTGCACTACCTGAGCCGTTTGTGTGGGTTGTAGACTCTGTCTCATGCTACCACTAGAGTGAAAGCACCGCCAGCATTCAAAAGTGACCAAAACATCAGCGAGGAAGCATAGGAACTGAGAAGTGGTCTGTGGTCACCACCTGCAGAACCACTTCTTTATTGCTAATTGCCTATAATTTCCACCTGTTGTCTATTCCATTTGCACAACAGCATGTGAAATGTATTGTCAATCAGTGTTGCTTCCTAAGTGGACAGTTTGATTTCACAGAAGTGTGATTGACTTGGAGTTACATTGTGTTGTTTAAGTGTTCCCTTTATTTTTTTTAGCAGTGTATTATTATTAAGTAGTGTCATGCTAGTCACCTGCACATCCTCCACAGACAACCAGAACACAGACAGTGTTGTGGACTCCCGACTGTCATGCTCCTCCAATTATCCGTTAATCGTGCTCTTCAGGGTTGCGATGCCCGCTGCTGCCTGGCGGGTAAAAACCTCACTCACACACAAAATCAAACATAATCTATATGACAGAAGACCAACATGACATGACAATTAAATCAATTTGAATCCCACTTTGTAACAATAAAATGTGAAGAAATCTAAGGGGGTTGAATACTTATCATACCTACAGTGCTCATGTCCAGTTCCAGAACCATGACACAGGAAAACACTGGGCATAATGGAACACTGAGGCATGTCAACTAAAGCAACTCTCAAATCCACTAAAACCCAATATTGGCTTCTGAATAAATTACTTACTCAAATTGTGATGCACAAAATATGTGTTTGGTCAAGATCAATTTCACACAGTGCTACTGTGTCACACTAGTGTCTTCACTGTCAAATCAATGTCCACTTAATATGTGCAAATGTGTGTGTCCTTCTACAGATAGTCCTATATACTCTCATTTCAGGTTTTATTCACAATAGATAATATTTTTTATGAAAGAATAATCTGGTGTGGTTAACAACTACAGACAATGCTGTTAATACTGTTAGCAGGACAATGAATGGACTCTTTCTCCTGCAGAGGGGGAACAGAATAGAGTGTTGCGCCAGATTTTTCCCTTTTCCAGGCAAAGCAGTCACATTCAGTTAGCTGGGTGACGTTTAAGACAGAGTGGACATGACACCGACAGGGAAGAGAGCCCATAGCACTCCTGATAATACATCTGTCGCTATGGAAACAGTCCTGTCATGGTGCTGAGGTTGTGCTCTGCTGGGACTGCTGTATCCTCAGGCTCTGGTTCCATAGGGGATAATAGGAATACCAACACTGTTATACACTATTTTACTGTACACATTTTATACATAGCATTTTACTGTTGGCCCTACAGTTTACTGTACACATTTTATCCCTTGCATTTTACTATACATTTGATAGTTTTGACAGGAATCCCTCTTCCATTAGGTAGACGAAAATAATAAACACAAACATACCTTCTGCCACAACAGTCCTCCTGTGTCAATGGTTCATCTGGAAAGAGAAACCAGAAGCAGCCTTTTACAGGGGTTGATACTGTGTCCTCTACCATGGTTTGTGATTTATCACGCACTGACAATACAATAACAAATCCTGAATTCCTTTCTGGAAAGGAGGAGGAGAGGAATAGAGAAACTAAAACACAATTCAAACTAAGCTCAGTCCTCTTGTCTGAGGAGTTAGTTCTCCATTCCACATTATATAGCAACATCCTGGCATTTAGCCAGCACAGGAAGTACTCTACTAATCTTCCCAGACCTCTGCATTCCTCTCTGCGGAGACTTTCGAAAGCAGGGTCGTGTTCACTAGGCACGTTGTCTGAGTCTTATGGCTTGAAACAGCTTGAGAAGCAGCATCCATGGCAATTTGGGTGTGTGACAAACGGGACATTTAGAGTGACCTTTTATTGTCCCCAGCACAAGGTGCACCTGTGTAATGATCATGCTGTTTAATTAGCTTCTTGATATGCCACACCTGTCAGGTGGATTTATTATTTTGGCAATGGAGAAATGCTCACTAACAGGGATGTAAACAAATGTGTGCACAACATTTTAGAGAAAATATTTTTGTGCGTATGGAACATTTCTTGGATCTTTTATTTCAGCTCATGAAACATGGGACCAACACTTTACATGTCACGTTTATATTTTTGTTCAGTGTAAATCTCATCCAAACCTTGAATTGATAGAATATCTGATGTATCTGACAATAGTAGCACTTTGGTTGTAGCAAGGCCAACCAGATAGGTCCTGCTACCTACTTCCCAAATGACAGATCAACAGATTACCAACACGCAAGTGCCGCAAAATGTGATGCTTTCAGTAAAATACAAGTGTGCTAGTATAACTCAAATCAAAGCAATCACTCCACCGAGGCAAATCTCATCCTTAGTGAAATCACACTACTGGAGGGGAAGGCTGTCATTGCCCATTAGTGAAGTAGAATCTCAAAATCTAGATTTCATGAGAGCCATTACAGTATGGTGTAGGTAGGGGCTTACAGCAGCACCTAGGCAAACGTGTGTTTTAAGCCAGTTTCTAAGACACTTATGGTATCAAGGACCATAAAGCTGTGTTTTTTCCCTCATTAGAACACTGGCTTGGATTACATTTTACACCTGAAAATTGCACTACATATGTGTCAGTCAGTGAACCATTTGGAAGGGCTAGACAAGATCATCCCAGGGTCCGCTGCCAGTCCAGAGACCGTTTCAAGCCCCCGTCTACAGTGCTTACACAAGACCATAACAGCGGAACGGATGTAGCATTGATTTTTAAATGCACCGAGATGTGTGATGCCTTAACCCTCCATTATCCCAAGAACACACTATTACTAACGTTTGCAGCACCTGGGAGTTAATAAATAGCCTAGCTCTTCATGGGAACAGCATTCTCATTACAAAACAGATGGCTGACCACAGAGACATTATGAAAGGGCACAACTGGATCAAAGAGAATCTCATTGTGAGTTATGACTCCAAGGTGCGCCCTAAAAATGAAAACCCTATATAAAAGCCTTCTATGAGTCATGTGTTTTATAACTAGGACACCAGAGTTTCTCCTGGTCAGATCAACATGGTCAGGACAGACTTCCCAGGTATGACAAATGTCATGGTTGAAAACAAAGGGAGAGACAAAGTGGTGACATCACCCCGTTTAAAAATGGCAGAATTATCGGAGCTGTCACAGTCGACCATGAGGCCATTCATTGTGGCCATTCGTATCTAATGGGAGTCATGCACTGCTGTTTACAGATAGCTCTGAGAGAACGAGGGAGAGGGGGAATGTGGAATCTTTCCTTCCAGTCTGTTAGGGACTTCTTTTAAGTGGCGTCTCCTCAAAAGACTCTTCAATGAGATTCATCACTGGAAACAAAATGATTTTATCTAACCTACATAAATACCATATATTAAAATACTGACAAAATGCTACTAGAGATACTTACCATTGTTTGCCTGTTCACACTCCTCAACCTGCCAGGGAGAATGATAAGTCAATCACACATAACCCTGGCATTTTACTTTATTTTGGCTGACTCATTTTACTACATCAATGACTTAAGTCAGTTCAACAATACAGGACTGAGAATCACAGAAAATCATCCATGACAGCAGACCTGTAGAAACCAAGGCAAGCATTTACCAGTGGAAAGCACACACACATTACATCTATGAATAAACCAATGGCCGACATGTCAGTGACCCCTCAGCCTTACCCCTAAAGGAACGTTGATGGAGGTGATGACCTCGTCTGTCTCATTGTTTTTGGGGAAGAGGAGCGGCTGCTGGCACCGTCTAAGGGGGGCGGACGGTTCTCCGCACAGAGTACCCTTGGCCGTCCCGCCTACGGAGAGAAACAACAACCAGTTAATAAGTGATGACTCAGACTTCACATCACAAATGAGTCAGAGGAGATGACCTTACTACTAGAGTTCTGTAAAGCAGAAAACCCTCCTCCTCCTGGAGACCTGCCTCCTCCTGGAGACCTGCCTCCTCCTGGAGGCTTTCCAGCACACCTGATTCTACTAATTAGCTGCTTGCTAGCACCTTGATTAACTGACTCGGGTGACTTACACAACTGGGTTGGAGTAATAGCCTGCATACACAGTAGCTCTCTGGGAGAAGGGTTTAGGTCAGTGATAGGGACTAGTGTTAGGCCTAATGCTAGTTAATAGAGTGTCGATGCTAGAAGTGCTAATAAGAACATTAATTTCCTTAAGGTTTGTTTCCACTTCACATTTCATTGATCAAAACAAATTAATTCACTGGCCGTGCAGATTTTACGATTTGGTTGAATGGGTCTAAATCGATTAAAGACTGGTGTGGAAGGCTGTAAACAGTGTGCTTTACAGTCATGATTTGTGGTGCATTCCTGTTTTAGTGGATGTGAGTGACTAACATACAGTATGGCAGTGTTCTCTTCGGAATTCTACCCTCTCAGATCTTCACTGAGCGCAATGTTGCTAGGCACAATTTGCCAAAATGACGGAAAACCACTTTTTCGAACAAATCCGATTGCCTACCTATCAGTCTCAGACAGATACCGACACAGACCCAGCAGCAAAGCAGCCAGTGGATGTAGGCTAATCCAGACAAATGCAGAGCCAAAACTCATAGGCTAACCCACACACTCCACTCAGCGAAAGGGCATTATGGCTGACATTTAAGCTAGGCTACAGTCCCATACAAACTCCCATTGAACAACAACTGTACAGCAGAACCAATGGGAAGTCAACAGATTGGTGGTCTACCTGCCATCTATGACTAGGAGGAACAAAGCCAGACAAAGGGATGATTCTTGGTCAATATATCACTGCTTGTTAATGAAGTGAGAGGAGTCAGCATTGTGAAGTAATGGCACAGTGACTCAACAAGGTTTCCTTTATAATGGCTCTGCATCTGTTTATCAGGCCCTGCTGAATTACTGCTTTTACATTAGCTTTGGCAATGGGACATGAACCGTGGACATGGCCAATACGTGATGCTTTAATTGACTATGGTGCCATTACATTTAAATGACACATTCAGATAGTACTGCAAGATCATGATGTAGGTCTATATAATTGATTTGACAAAGTGTTCGATGTTGTGATGAAACTGGATTTTTGGCTATTATGTAGGAGGTACTTGTTGACCAAATCTTCACCTCTATCTTTTATGGAGTGTCGTTCCAATATGTGCATCACAGTTCCCATTTCTGAGGCTGAGAGATAAACAGTCACACCGGTTCAGTGGGTTGTTATGAAGCTCAGTACTGCTCTGATTGCAGAATGTCCCTTGTGTGGCTGGGATTGGGCCCTTGAATAAACCCACTAAGGATCATCTCAAAAGGCTACGGCAAAAGCTATGCTAATGTCTCAGGACCATAGTAATGTAAGCAGAGGCCAATGTCTGAATTTAAATACCACAATGCTACATCGCAGCATATATTCTACTACACCATGTGGGTGAAACTTTACAACAAAATGTAATTATGGTTGTGTAGAGTAAGTATGATCATATATGGTTAAGGACTGTTCACCATTTTACAACTTGATGTTAGATTGTTCCTCACCCTGAAAGTAGTCTATGGGCCAGGAGAAACGAATCCATGGTTCAGTTCTTTCAAACAGCCACAATCAATGGAAGTGATGGGGGCATGTGAGTATGTTTTTTAATTTGTATTAATTATTTATTTTTCATGGCCAAATCACCTTTTAAGTAACATCAAACAAAATATGGAGATTGATTTGATTTCAGGTGATTTGGACATTTTGTAGTGGCTAAGGTTAGCTTAAGTTTGTTGTGGCTGTTTAAAGAAAACTGAACCATGGATTAATGTTTTTTTCTTGGCCCAGACTACTTTCAGGGTGAGGAATCATCTAACAAAGTTGTAAAAAATTGAACTACTCCTTTAAGTATATATTCATGCATGGTCATGCCTTCTAACATCAAGGTTAATGACCTCCCGTGACTGACTTTGTTCAATAAAAAAGTTCAAGTGGAAGGCCATACAAACAACAATACATTGTTGGCCAGCTTCTAAATTAACAGAGCCAAGAGACAATCTGTTTGGCTACATTTCCAGTTCATATCCAGATTGTGATGTCATTAGGTAAACAGTAGCCTAAATCAACAACATCCTATAGCCTACTAACAGAGAAAACAGTACATGCAAACCATGAATATCCAGACATAAACACAGCCAAATAATCCAGGTGGATCCATGGAAATATATTTCAAGACTAATGTAATATTAATAAAAAATTGCCTAGCCAAGTGCTCAATTTCCAGACGAGACGGCACCGAAGCCAACCTAACCAAATAATTCAGGTGTATCCGTTGAAATGTGCATACCATGACACTGTTCTTTTGTCTGAACTGAACTTGAACCTAGCTTAAGACAATGTGGAATAGCAGAGTGTGAACACTGCATGCAGCTGTCGGCTCCGGAGGTCAGAGGTTACAGTGAACACACATGCACACCACATTCTCCACACTTCATGCGTGGGCACGGATACGCCGCTACACCAGTAAATGGATTACTACATAAAGGGGTGATGCGATTGTGAAAACGTGATCCTGTGCCATGTGAGATCAGTACCCACCACACCCTTATTTTACATGTATACTGTGAACGTCCCTTGCTATGCTCTAGTTGTAGGCCTAGGTCTACTTAATAAACTATCGCTTCAACTTGATGTTGATTGAACCGACATTGTCTAGGAATGTGTTTAGCCTGTACACAACTAGAAATGTCTGATCACCATTGCCTGCTTTCTCCAACAATAAAAATCCTCACTATACTTAGCAGTATGGATGGGCACCATGTACAGCAGCCTATATACCATAACATTCTGCCATTTGGATGTCTATCAGGGCCTGCAATAAGGACCACTGTTCTGTGATCAACAGTGAGGTGTACACTACTACAGCCAGGGAGGGACAGCCAGATCCAGCCTGACAGACAGAGGTGGCTCCCTCAGCAAGGCCCTGCTGTACTACAAGTCAGTCTATGTAGGTCAGGTGGAAAAACTGTACACTATGCACATTATCCAATGTGAATGACTGGAGTCTGGACACTGATTGAATGAACGTCCCACATAGTTTTACCCCAAAGGGTCTTTGTCAGCTTGATGCCCATTTTGGGCCCCATTGTTCGAGCACTCAATGTGTGCAGGTATTCTTCTTTTGCCATGCCACATTTTTGTACCCTGCCCCAGTGGACGTTTGTTGGATGTGTGCGTACACTAGTTTTGAACCAATGTGAGTAGCTAGGAAATACCAGGTGGGTTGCTCCTCCGATGGGCGTGGGGGTCGTCGGGCTCTAGGAAAATGTTGGAGGCCATTTTGTTCTTGCGTACAGGTGGGGCTTCGTCTGTGCCGAACGATATGTTGGAGGCCCCGCCCGGCGGCCGCAGCACCCTGCAGGACAACAAAGGGAGGGTCAGGACTCATTTAACTGACTGCCACACACTATTGAACAGACACCCCCACTCCCAGGTCATGCTAAATACACAAAGACCATGTCACAATAGTGATCAGCAGCAGCACTGCTGAAATCAATACATGACAAATACAAACATATTGCTCTGATGCAGCCCCCGCTCTCTCTCTCTCCATCCACGGTAGGGTCTCCACTCCCTAAGCCCCGGCTGTCAGGCTGAGGGATACTCCCAATCTCTCCCCTCCCCTGGCTACAGCTGACTCCATGCGCCTGCAATCTGCCAGGCTAGCCAGCCACAGCCGCCGATTTGAGCCAGGCAGAAATTCCGCAGCAGTTACACACAGGGGATGGCTTTCATTCCAGACAGCATAGCCGTTCCAACATTTGATTGGACAAATCCAGGCTAGGCTACATCATGGCCTGTGCTTAGGCACAGGGAACAATGTCAAGGTAAAAACAAACATCAGATAGCCTTAATATGTGATCTGAATATCAAAAAGGCAAGAGGATAACCACAGCTCACAAAGCACACTTCCAAACCGACATTCTTTCCTCCTAATAAACAGAAGGGTCACTATAATGAGAAGGAAAGCCTTTTTTCCCCCTTGACTAAGGACAGTCGGGTGGAGGACAGAAATGGATGTGTTTGCAGAGCCATTCCCTGACCCCTCCTCCCCTCTATTCAGCTCCACACACAGACCGCTGAATCCACCAGCTGACACTAGGCAGCTGTCCAAAGGCAGACGCGATACAAAAATCAACTTCCCTCCCACCGTGTGGGGGGGACCCCACAAAAACCCACTGAAGACAGTGGCGAGATGAAAAAAACGGGATTTGGGTGTTGCTGGTGCTGTATGCCACGCGTAGTTAATCATAATGCCTACAGCAGACTTGTTAACCCTTGTGTGATTACTAAGATGAGCACATGCTTTCCACCCGGCTGCGAAGAGAAAAGGCTATTTGAGACCCCACCCAACAATGAAACGGCAAATATTTCCTGTGAAAGGAGAGGCACTGCGGTTAGAAAAGTGGGACAACTCGACAGTTGTTCAACAGCAGATTGATTAAAAAGATAGCAAGCGCGAGCCTGACGCTGTCACATACATTGAAGGCCTTTGATGACCTTATCTGCAATTACTAAAGGCTGCCAAAGTTGGATTGGTGCTGTCGGGAAAGCCTGCATTTCTAGATTGGTCAGCAGCAGGGCCGACCAAGATGGCTAAAGCAAAGATGAACTGAACAAAGATTTGCAGGCTTAGCTAAACCCCCTCACCCAAGTAAAACCCGCATTAGCCACCAATTAGTTGACAACGTAGCTAGCTGGAATGCCGGAATGTCTTAAAGACTGGTCCTGATTTCACGGTTTTGGACTAACTTACTTGTAGCAAAACTATCCAGCCGAAAACTGTTACAGATCACATTTTTGGTTAACGAAATAGCTAATTGTCCGGCCTGCCCGAAGCGCATCAAAGGTTGATAAAGAAAGTTACAACGTTATTTTTTCTTCCGCATGTCATCCAGCCGCCGCAAAGGCAGGAGTTTCCCAGACTATAGGATGGATGCATGCGGTGCATCATTTTCTGGCAGTGAAAAAAAGGTGATTGCGTGCAGACCCTTTGCCTCAAATAAATCCTCAAAACGTGTAGACAATTCAGATTTTAAAAGGCCTTGAATTAACTCCTAATAAACTGATTGGGTCAACCGTATTCTTAGAAACATCCATAAAAGGAGCTCAATTTGGCATGTCTGGTAACCCAATTTGGCATGTAGGCTAATCTAGCTAGCTAACTAACCAACAAACTATCCAGTTTTGGGGCATCAGAGGCCGAAAGACACTGAGGGTTTGGAGCTTGCAAACGACGTGTGAGTGGTTGTTTCTGCAAATAAAAGTTTCACGCGACAGCTGAGCTTGCTGCTAGCCAGACAGCTAACTTAACAAAAAAAAGTTGCTGTCCAGACAGACAACTAGCTAATTACATAGCTAAAATTGTCCATTCTATTTAAATGTGTCCTGATGCTGAGTCCTTTGCACTGAACATCTAATTTTCAAAGTTAAATCCCAACTTCCACTATTAACACCGCGCGGGCCTCTGCCTGGTGTGGTAGTTAGCATCGCTAGCAGTAACCAGGTCGCTGATGATGCGGCTAGCCCAAATGCCCTCTTCACACCATCATATCAGCTAATTAGTAAGACAACGTGTGCCATTAATACAATTTAGCTAAATCAGGAAAAATCCACCACCCGACAACTGGCCGGTTAGCTTCCCAATACTGGCTGGCAAGCGATGGTAAGTGGATCCCATTTTCTTTTGTTTGTCCATGAAGATTTTTCGGATTCATTTTTTACCTGGAACTGCTTTTCGCGGCGGGATCCATCCCTTGAAAGGTTTTTGTCGTCGTCATTTCGACTGTCTAATTTACTACTTTCGTATTTCGATATGTAACTCTATAAACTACAAAAATAAGATTTTCTAAATCCTCGGCAGGACAGAAACTGAAATACGGACTCCACCCGACTGAGCGCACGAGAGACCAGAAGGAAGAGCACAGCGACAAGTTATCCCAGCCCACTTGAGTTCCACTCGCTGTGGTTGGACGGAACCTCACCGACCGTCATTCTGGTTGGTGGCACATACCGACATTCGACGTCAATCCATTTTCTTTGAAAGGCAACGTTCTCCACCCCTGTGCGAAGCATGAAACAAATATTCCCGATTTAAGTCATTTAGCAGACGCTCTTATCCAGAGCGATTTAGTTAGTGAGTGCATACATTTTTCATACTGGCCCCCCCGTGGGAAACGAACCCACAACCTTGGCGTTGCAAGCGCCATGCTCTACCAACTGAGCTACAGGGGACTATAACTTCTTTCTTTTCAACAATTGTCTCAAAAAGTAACCTTATTTTAGAAAAATAAATCAGATTAAGTGCTATTTACTGCCAGTTTCATTCCCATTCTGTATCTTATATTAGATATTGATAAAAATGCTGTCAGTACAGTATCAAGATGTTATCTAATGGTGATGAGCAAGGACATAAATGTTGTTACTCAAGAGTTACTATATTTGTTTGGCTTGTCTTCATACAATAGTCCCACTGTCCTAACATCCTCTTTCGCCGTTTTGAGTTCATCTTTACACTGACAGTGCCAACATTTGGCTACAATGTGGTATTTTAAACAGTCAGTGGTGATCATCAAGCTTTACAGTTCAATCACCATGGTGGTTTTTCACTGATAAAATATCCAGCACAAGGACGCGCTCTGACAATGAATGATTACAAATATTTGCACCAGTTTTAATGACCCAGTCACACACTAAACAGAGACAAAATAAATTGAGTTTGGTTAAAAAGAGAGAATAACTTTATTTTAACAAGACATTTATGAGACAATACTGATGTTTACCTGGACTAAAACATCTCTTCAGGGTTTCCTTATTACAAGCATGGCCTAGTCAAACTATGTTCAAGACATGTTTCATTTTACACAACCACTAATATATAAAAAAGATATAAAACCCATTTTCTGAAGCAGACAACAGAAAATTAAGTTGAATAACAAACCAGTCTTATTCTCAAACAGTGAACGGGGTGGAAAATATTTTTTCTTGATCTCTGAGTAAGTGATAACCAACCAGTCCCCAAAACAATGGACTTTTTAAGAGTTGGATCTTGCAGCGTTCGTTCGCAGCACACCTTGTATGAATGGAACTAAAATCTGAGTTCTCTTAGCGGAGGTTGTTTATGTACAAAACAGGAAGAAACAAAGGCAAGAATGAAAACACTATACAACAGCAGTTATGTATAACTGTGAGCAGGACTTCTTCCATGGTATTGATTCTGTGGTGGAAAATGGGACAAGCTGCAAAGGAGCAGTCTGGAGGGGATGGAAGGGAGGGAGAAGTTGTGGGGGAGTACTTGACATGCTAGTAGAGGCCTCCTGTCTGTTGCTGGAAAACATCGATCGTATCTTCATCCTCCATTTCCAACTGTCAGGAAAAAGGGAGGAAATTAAGTCAATTTGATATAAAACCCGATTTCATTAGATGACATGGCATTCATGACAAAAATGTACATAAATTAGCTGTGAATGGAGAGCTTTCGTTAGAAGACATTTTGCATTTAACATTCTTTCAGCATGCACAAATGTTAATTGGTATTCTCTAACAGGGAGGAATGTATAATGGTGTTTTTGCTGGAATGGTGTTGTTCAAGCAAAATAGAGTGAATTGACGTAATAAATCAGTTCCTCCCATGAGACTCCAGGCTTACCTGTGCAGGTGTGTCTGTCTCGTTTATTGGCTGTCCATCGAACCGGAACCGGATTTGCCTAATCGTCAACCCCTACAGACACACACAGATAATAAATTCCATTAAACTGTCTGACACAAAACAATCTCCAAGTAAAATGTCCTAAAGAAAACAATATTTTCCTAACCCCTGCCAAGCAATCCATGAATAGTGTACGCACTATGGAAGCAAGGTTAGCCAATCCTTAAAAAACTCCTGTCACTTCTCTAATATGTGAATGAAAACACTGCAGAAAGGAAGGGATGAGGAGATAGGGAAGGGCGTTACTATATTACCACTCCATATCCACGTTGGCCAGAAATCATTTTGATCAGATAAAGGAAGAAAAACAACAGGATAGGGAGGGAAGTGGCTTCTACTCAACAAAGCCAGTAGAGCATGGCCTACTTCCATGACTTCATAGGTCTAAAGAGACACACAAGATCCATTATGGGCGGGCAGGCAGGCAGGGACACACAACATTGAGATTAGGCCTGGGCAAGCCTGGATAAGACAGGCCTAGCACTAGAGAGCAAAGACTCAGTTTCTACATCTCTGCCTCAGTTCTACATCTCTACATCTCTGACTCAGTCTCTATATCTCTGTACTTGCCAGTGCAAGCAGCATGAACACAATCATTCAAAAATACATGTAGAACAGAACAGCTCCAAGTGCACTAGGGAAGAGAACAAAAATACCTTTGATATGTTGGGAGAATCCAATGCCAAGAACCCTATTTTAAAAGTACTTATTAGGTAATGCAGTGTAAATCCCCTCAATTAGCCTATAAGATCATAAATAGCACAGATCAGATTGGCCATATGATGATCCAGCAGTAAGGCTTAGTATTTACTAATCAGCCTACAGCCAGAGAGAGAAAGGCAAGTTAAGCTTAAGCCTTGATAAATACAAATTGCATTGAATATGACAAGTACATTTGGTGCATATAATAATAAAGGGTATTTTACCAAATAAAAAGTGAATCAGAAGAGTGGACAGTACAGAATCATTACTACATTACATTTTAGTCATTCAGCAGACGCCTTTATCCAGAGCGACTTACAGGAGCAATTAGGGTTAAGTGCCTTGCTCAAAGGCACCAAAAATATTTTTCCGCCTAGTCGGCTCGGGATTCGAACCAGCGACCTTTTGGTTACTGGCCCAACGCTCTTAACCACTAGGCTATATGCCACACATAGAGCTGTGACACTGGAATAATGAGGACGATGAAAAGGAAGCTGATAATATGATGAAGACAACACAGCTCAAAGCACTCGTCTCCTGTCACAGACAATAGAGGCTACATCTGACAGTGAACAGATCAAAGAGTTACAAGTGTATAAAAAGGTGCATGTATCGCATCCTCTCTTCAATGAGTTTCCTTGTCCTCAATGGATAATATCATCTTTCATCAACCCCTGTATTCCCATAGTTAGGGTCAGGACTTTTCCCAGGTCAGGTCATTAGGGAAAAGGTTCCTGGGCCCATATTCATAAAGCGTCTCAGAGTTCAAGTTTGTTTATTAGTCATATACCTGTACACATGACATACACTACCGTTCAAAAGTTTGGGGTCACTTTGAAATTTCCTTGTTTTTGAAAGAAAAGCAATTTTTTTGTCCATTAAAATAACATCAAATTGATCAGAAATACAGTGTAGACATTGTTAATGTTGTAAATGGCTATTGTAGCTGGAAATGGCTGATTTTTTAATGGAATATCTACATAGGCGTACAGAGGCCCATTATCAGCAACCATCAGTCCTGTGTTCCAATGGCACGTTGTGTTTGCTAATCTAAGTTTATCATTTTAAAAGGCTAATTGATCATTAGAAAACCCTTTTGCAATGTTAGCACAGCTGAAAACTGTTGTGCTGATTAAAGAAGCAATAAAACTGGCCTTCTTGAGACTAGTTGAGTATCTGGAGCATCAGCAATTGTGGGTTCGATTACAGGATCAAAACTGGGCAGAAACAAATAACTTTCTTCTGAAACTCGTCAGTCTATTCTTGTTCTGAGAAATGAAGGCTATTCCATGCGAGAAATTGCCAAGAAACTGAAGATCTCGTACAACGCTGTGTACTACTCCCTTCACAGAACAGCGCAAACTGGCTTTAACCAGAATAGAAAGAGGAGTGGGAGGCCCCGGTGCACAACTGAGCAAGAGGACAAATACATTAGTGTCTGGTTTGAGAAACAGACGCCGCACAGGTCCTCAACTGGCAGCTTCATTAAATAGTACCCGCAAAACACCAGTCTCAACGTCAACAGTGAAGAGGCGACTCCGGGATGCTGACCTTCTAGGCAGAGTTGCAAAGAAAAAGCCATATCTCAGACTGGCCAATAAAAAGAAAATATTTAGATGGACAGTAGTACACAGCGTTGTACGAGATCTTCCGTTTCTTGGCAATTTCTCGCATGGAATAGCCTTCATTTCTCAGAACAAGAATAGACTGACGAGTTTCAGAAGAAAGTTATTTGTTTCTGCCCATTTTGAGCCTGTAATCGAACCCACAATTGCTGATACTCCAGATACTCAACTTGTCTCAAGAAGGCCAGTTTTATTGCTTCTTTAATCAGCACAACAGTTTTCAGCTGTGCTAACATAATTGCAAAGGGGTTTTCTAATGATCAATTAGCCTTTTAAAATAGCAAACACAACGTGCCATTGGAATACAGGACTGATGGTTGCTGATAATGGGCCTCTGTACACCTATGTTGATATTCCATAAAAAATCAGCCGTTTCCAGCTACAATAGCCATTTACAACATTAACAATGTCTACACTGTATTTCTGATTAATTTGATGTTATTTAAATGGACAAAAAAAAATTGCTTTTCTTTCGAAAACAAGGACATTTCTAAGTGACCCCAAACTTTTAAACGGTAGTGTACGTGGAGTACACAGTGCAAAGAAATGCTTATTTACAGGTTCACCTCTCGACAATAGGAAAGTAATTAAGTAAATAAAAAGAACAAACAAATAAAAGCTCAATGAATAAGTACTAGGATAAAAATGTTGCTAACATATAATACAAGGAGGCACTCAAACAAATTAAAGTAGGATATTTACAAATGTGCCAGGGAGGAGGAATGATGACGTTGGACCAGTTTTGCCTTGGCCCCTTTAGATCATGATGAATAAATCGACAGAGGGGGACCTGATCCTTGATCAGCACTCCCACTCTGAGATCCTTTATGAATACTGGCCCTGGCCCTAAGTATAGGGTTAAAGGAGCTGCTGGCTGCTTATGACTTGGCCCCTGTCAATAAACCACCTCTACCCCCTCAGCACTTTATGCAGATTGAAAAGGACTTGATAGGTATAACCAATATGGTAGTAGCTCAACCTTGCCCTCTGATGCCGCTGCTGATGTTGTGCAGTCAGTGGCATCATCATGGCTGCCATGTCAGACTCACCTGTCTCTCGCAGTACGCCTTCATGAGTTTGCTGAGCGGCGTGTGTCTCTTGATCTTGAACTGCACCACCGAGCCATCCTGTCCCGCCACCTTCAGGTTTATGTGGTCGTTGTTTTCTGTTTTCACTCCCTCCTGATGTACACAACAAACATTGGGGGGTGTATTCAGTGAGATGAAACGCAGATACAGTATAAATGTTAATGTCAAGATTTAACATGATACCCACTATTACATGTGACAGACAATCATGTCTGTTCTACACCATACATTTCAGCTTCTCTTTAAAGGTGCACTATGCAGAAATCGCTCCGCCATTTCATTGTTGCTAAAATTAGAATAGTCCGCTTATTTCAGTTTATGTGAGGAAAAAGAGCAGGTATAGTGTAGAGAATTATTGTACCATCTAAACCGCTGTGAAATATATTTTCCATAACCAAAAATATTGTATTTTCAGGTGTTTGAAGATGGTGTACAAAACCGAAAGTAAAAGATGCAAAAACGAAACTGAAGAATGGTAAGCATAGAAATAGCGCACATAGAACATATCTACCGCTTCTTAGACTTGCTTTCAATGAGAATGACAGCTCTATATTTCTATGTGAATTTTGTCGGCTCGCCCAAAAAGTTACATATTGCAGCTTTTAAACATTGCTAGTTCATATAGGCAAACACTGAATACAATATATGGTAACCTAGCCGCTTTTAGCAACGCTAGTATTTACACACCAGCGTTGCTGGGAATTAGCTTGCAAAAAAACAGAATAGTCCTGCCGAAAGCCAGAAGTTAAATACAATTTCAACTCTGACGATTGTCTGTAGGCTTGGTCCTTATGCAGGGGGGAATTTGAGAAAAAACAAACATCTAATGGAAGGTATAATTAAACAGACTTTCCAAACGTGGGTCTATTGTAGACCCATGCAGTTCCTCTCGGCTTACCTCATGTCAAAATAAAAGTACCCCACAAGTTCTTGCTTTTTTTGTGCTGGTATGGCGCACGTGCAGGACTTTTATTTTGACATGAGGTAAGTGGAGAGGAATTGGGTCTACAACAGACCCACGTTTGGAAATTCTGAATGTTCTATTAGTTGTTCTTCTCAATTTCCCCTCCGCATAAGGACCAGCAGTATGGACAATCGGCAGAGTAAGTTGAAATTGAATTTTATTTAATTCTGGCGGACTATTTCGTTTTTTTGCAAGCCAATTCCTAGTAGTGTGTAAATACTAGTGTTGCTAAAAGCAGCTAATGATAACCTTGCCTGGGAGGACCAGATGCAGGTAGCTTAGTGGGTAAGAGCGTTGTGCCAGTAACCGAAAGGCTGCGTTCTAACCCCGACCACTAGTGAAAAATCTGTCGATGTGCCCTTAGCGGCACTTAACCTAATTGCTCCTGTAAGTCGCTCTTGTATGAGCGTCTGCTAAATGACTAAAAATGTCAATGTAAAACAAATGTTGCTTGGCTGATAGTTGATACAAAGCAAATTATCAGTCGGGTCCCAGGCAAATGTTAACCTTGATATGACCATCATTGATTTTAGGCAAGTGGAAAAATGTACACATAGTGTTTTTGTCAGCAGTGCACTGTTTGAATATAAGCGGTTTCTGAACAGTGAATATAGACCAAATATTTAACGTTTTATGGAACACTTACAAAGGCCATGGATAGTTCAGCAGTGACATACACAAGTGAATCTGTCTTAACTATTATTGAGCTTACTTGTTCTAAAAGTCATGGTGCTGTGGCAATGTAATGAAACAATGTGTTTTTGGACAATGTTTAGTCTACCCCTAACCCCAGAGTGGAATTTATCATGCTGACTACAGGATAGGTGCTTTTCACATTCTAGAATTCATCCGAATGAAGACACATATTAAACATGTATATGTCAAACATCTGATCATTGGTCAACACACACACAGGATTGATGCATTGAAAATATTGACAATACTTTTACACAGGAAAACACATAGGAGTAAAACATGGTTTTTAACACTGCCTCAGTCACATCATTTCACTCATTTGTAACATGCTGTGATAGCTGGCTCCATAAACATAGGAGGGGACCCTTGTTGTAGCCATGATTGAATGTTACAAGTTTGAAACCTGAGAAGTTTTGACAAAGTGATGAATGCATTTGATTGATACAACCACTTGGATATGAACTGAGTTTGTCAGATTACATTTGCAAATACAAAAGATTAAGAACTGAAGAGAGTATGCATGCATGGCTGACTGTCATGTTCAGCTAGCAAACGCTAGTTGGCTGGGAATCAAGCAGCAAGCTACGCGCCCATGCAGGCGCGTGCACAGGTCTTCCGGTGTCTCCAATGGAGTACTTGCATTTTTTAAACTTGAGTCTACTAAGATCTCAAGTAAGGAAATATTCCATGTCAATTTTTCCTTAGTTCTATTTGAGTTATGTATGTGAAGAAATGTGATGAGATGTAAGCATATTTTCAAGCAACTCACCTTGGGTTTCTCGTCAGCCATGGTTACTCTATTTGCGCTTCTCTACGCCGCCACACAACGAATAGACGTGTACGCGCACGTACCCGCTCCCGTTTAAATTACCGGCCTTGCGTGCGCGATCACAAACACATGCTCGTGCCCTGTACTTCACATTCATTGGCCAACGTGGGTCACAAGGTAACATGTTGAGCGCTGGCAGAGGGCGGGAATGTCGTAATGCGCGTTTCTGTAACACGTGCACGCGCATTTATAACACGTTCCCTTTTGTTTTGTTTTATGAAAATATTCACCGAAAATGTCCTAATGCTTTGATGTTAACAGTCCCATTGCTTTACATTTGCTCAATAAAAATCGGTTTATTTGGGAAAGTGTACTGAAGGGTCAATGTTTGGGAATTTAAAGCATTCTGGAATTTTGTCATGGAAGAAAGGACTGATCCTCAGTAGCCATCTTGTTTTTATAGACCATAACATTCAGGCAACAAATTATGCACAGTTGTAAACACAGATAGAACAATGAAATCTTTGGTTGTACAGTACTTGTACCATTACAGAGATGATCCAGCAAGCAACTAATGTTGCCCTACACAGTATTGGATGGATGTTGATGAAGTCCAGAATGGTGCAACATTGTAAAAATCCCATATTTGCCTATTATGCCATTGGAAACAGCCTACATGTTATAAGGAAAATGTAATTAGACAATAGATGTTTTAATTATTAACTAAATCCTGGGGTTAAATAAATAACTGTTTGCATATAGTGCCCATTAGTTCTTACCACTTTGAGAAAATTAGTACCAAAACATTACGATTAATAGATATTCGTACTGGTTGATTTTATTCATTGGAATAATATATTCTCATGTTGACATTACTTGTCAAATTGACAACTGACTAATTGTGTCCCCTTTGGTGCAAGCTTTGATAGAGAAGACGCATTCACATTTCTAGTCAGGCACGACACAGAATTACCCTATGACGTCAGACATGCGCACGCTTTGGGGTCCTTCAGCTGAATGGTTGAGGCGCCTAATTTCTGTATTATATTATTTGAAATGTCAGTATTTGTATCGCTAGTGCACTAAGTTATATTTATTGATTCGCCTTATTGATTTGAGTAAAGTGGGTGGTAATGGAGGAGGTAGATGTGGAGCCGACAACTACTGTAAGTACCGCTCGTGCTCTGTTGTTGTGGAATCAAAATGTGTCCAGGGCAGGCTATAGTATGCAGTTAGTTAGCTAGCTAACGTTAGTTCGCTAACTAACAATTCATTCAAATGTCTCTGAGCTCAAGTGTCCACAATAATACTGGCAGCACTGCACAATGTTGAATTGTCATTTGCGATGACTGGTTTCAGTGGGTTGAAAGGTACTGGCAGCAAGGCAGAATAATCTCTAGACGGTTAACTACCTAGTTAGGTCAACATAAACTAACGAGACTTTTCTCGCTTTCAGCCTATCCCTGGGATCGACAGCAACCAAAAACACTTGGGATTTGTGTGGGGTCCTGGAGATATCCTGGTTTATGAGACCATTTACAAAGTATCAGGTAGAATGAGAGTTGAACATATAACTTGGCAGTAAAGCCATGACTCAAATCATGTCAAAGTACAAAGCATCCTCCTCTCTAACTAACTCACTCTCCCTGTGCATCTCTTCAGGTGGATCTGCAGGGGGTTGTCCCTTCGTCCATGAGGTCAGGAAAGATGAGGACATCTATTCCCCTATTTTGCGTAAACTCTTCAATGAGTCCCATCACATCTTTGTTGGTCTGCAGAGGATCAGAGAGGATCTGCCCAGCAAGAACAAGAAACCCCAGTAAGGCTGGGATAGGCTACTTTCTCTTTTAATTCAAACTAGGGTTCTTAGTTTTCCTTTGTCATGTGGTCAGGAAAAACTCCTGGTTCTAAATATACCAAACAGTGGTGATGTGTGTGACTTGATCTCATAGTAATCAAAAGGTTTTGCATTGTAATAGGTACACTCAAATTGCTAAGCATTTATCAATTTCACGTATTTATTCAGGTTCGTCAGTATTAGCAAGAACTACAGGTCTGTGATTCGAGCATGCATGGAGGAACTCCAGCAAGTCGCAGGTATAGTATATGGCAACATTTCAACAATCAAATGTTTAACAATGCAGTTCATAGACAGACTTAAGTAGCATGCTATTTCCCCTCACTTTGCAGTTTCTACACAAGATGCAGCGTTGGCTACACAGTATGGAAATCAGGTAGAGTACTTGTCTGCGCCTATTCAGATCCAGACTAACCACTTACTCTCATGTCAAGAGAACATAACCGAAGTAATATAACATTTAATCAGCAAACGTGAGAAAAAAGTATCCTGAATCGAAGATGTTGAACACTTTTGTAATGTTATACAACTCATAGACTGTCTTAGTGTATAATAATATATCATAGTGATTTCCTTGGCACGACTCTTCTCTCCTGTTTTTCATGACAGGTGTCAATCCTGCTGGCAGTAGAGCTGATCTGGAACCTTTGTGAAGTGTTGTTCATCGATGCAGCTCCAGGTAGCGTCTATATTTTGTGTGTCAACTGTGACGTTGCTTTGGACACAGAAGCATCCTCTAGGTGTGAACCATAGAGCTAGATAGAAGACTCATCTTTGTATCTGTGCCATTACAGCGTCTGTGACAGCAGGGTCAGCGCCATTGAGGTGAACTCAATTTTAAAGTAGTCAATTATCTTCTTTTTCATTGGCTGATTGCTCCCACAGGGGTCGCGTTAACGCAGGATTCTGCATTTTTCACACAGAAGGGGAAATATAAAACGCAGGGAAAAAATTGTGCTGCGTTTTGTAAACGCAGATCTAAAATGCTTCTTATTGTAAATTCTGCTAGGCATCAGTCAGGGTTTGCTCCAAATCATGATTGTAAAAGGTGCTTCAGTTCCACTTCTCCACTCGGATGAAACATATTTGCTCTCGTTATTGGATCATTCTCCGGTACTTTCCTCCAGTGTAGTTTTTCTCCAGTAGCAAGTTAAAATGCAAACTCAGGACCACTGCTCCTGAGTGGCGCAGTGGTCTAAGGCACTGCATTGCAGTGCTAACTGTGCAACTAGAGATCCTGGTTCGAATCCAGGCTCTGTCGCAGCCGGCCGCGACCGGGAGACTAATGGGCGGCGCACAATTGGCCCAGCGTCGTCCAGGGTAGGGGAGGGAATGGCCGGCAGGGATGTAGCTCAGTTGATAGAGCATGGCGTTTGCAACGCCAGGGTTGTGGGTTCGTTTCCCACAGGGGGCCAGTATAAAAAGATACATAAATAAATAAAAATGTATTCACTAACTGTAAGTCGCTCTGGATAAGAGCGTCTGCTAAATGACTAAAATGTAATGTAAATGTAAAATATGATGGCCATGCATAGTTTTAGCAAAAAATACCTTGCTTTTTCATTGTAAGCTAATTTACTTATTTCTGGCTGCTAGCCAAATAGCGTTGCACTTCTGTTGTCATCTGATGAAAATGTTTTTCTGGTGAATGTGTTGCACTAATGTATTTTGTGTAAAGAAAAACTACACTTGCAAGCCCCTGGTCACTCCATTGAAGCCAAAAAACACTGTTGACTTTCAATATGAATGAAATGAAAATGCAGATTTCTGAAAGCTAACGCGACCCCTGTCCCAACTCGTATGAATCCCCACCCAGTTGACTACTTTAAAATGGTGGAAGCCCTCAATGGCAATGTCCATGCTAAAAGGGGTTATATCCATGATGAGTCATCAATCTCTGTGGTGTGAACAGAACATAATATTTTCTGCACCCTGTTTTTTGTATGTGACCCTCCAGCTGGCTCCCTGCTGCTCCACCTGCTCGACTGGGTGAGGCTGCACAAGGCTGACGTGGATGAGAAGGCCGGTGAGGTGCTTGCGAGTGAGAGCCCCGCAGAGCACCAGGCCTACTGGGATGTGGTACGTACACATACACCCCTCTCCTGTCTCTGTCTGCCTTTTAAAACTTTTATTGGCACAGTGCGCACATACGTCACACCGATTTTGTCTTTGACCGGGCTCTACAGTGCGACCATTTTACTCACAAATGCGCCTAAAAATAGATGTGTGCGAACTGCAAAAGTAATGTATGTGCATGTGATTTATAGTGAACAAATAGCTGCCGTTTTTGTTTCATAGCTGGTAGCTAATCACACAAAGAACTACGAATCCCATATAGCTTTCCCACCTCGAGCAGCAACAGTGCCTGGGGCGCACTGTGAGTGAAGTGCTGAAAGATACATATTTTGAAGCGCACAGCGTAGAAGTTCGTTGATTTCACTTGAAAGTCTACTAAAGTGGCTATTTACATAGTTTTGTTCACACGCTATGTGGTTTTTCAATGTTAGTTTGAGCTTGCTCAACTGCTAGCAAAGAGACACGTCAGAGAATCTCAAAGGGGCAGCTGAACATTGTTGTCTCGCCTAAATGACTCAAATATTTGTGGGTACATTGTAATTGATTGAGCATGGAACACTCCAAAAAACGTTTTATTCTTTAACTTTTATTAATTTCTTATCATAAAAACACTTCCTCAAATACTTTCATTGTGCTCCTTAATTTCTTTGTGTGCTCCTACATTTTTCTACTTACGAACACATGTGCTCCTTGTAAAAAAAAATGTCAGCGTAGAGCCCTGTTTGATCAAAACGTCTTTAGTGGAACCTCAAGATCTCCAGTGGAATTTTGAGGTGAAATTGCCTTCAAATGGATGGACTTGGATCTCCATGATTGCTTCCAATGTGGTTGAAATAAACTGCCATTGATATACTATGTATTTTATCTGTGCAGACTTTCTTTGCCCAGTTTAACTCCTATAACTTATGTCTATTGTGTAATAACTGCTATTTATGTGTACAATGTTGGTAGCTCAGTTGGTAGAGCATGGTGCTTGCAACGCCAGGGTTATGGGTTCGATTCCCTCGGGGGGCCAGTATGAAAATGTATGCACTCACTAACTGTAAGTCGCTCTGGATAAGAGCGTCTGTTAAATGACTAAAATGTAAATGTAAAAGATATGTTTATTTGTGTACTAGTCTATGCAGATATTCTTTCTCCCCTATTGAACCACACTGTCCCCTCTGTGTGTCTCCAGGTGATCAGCTACGTGCTGCAGGGCCGGATGGACGAGGCCAGGCAGGTCCTGGTGAAACAGGCAGCTCTGCAGCCTGCAGCCAGGGCCATGTTCAAACTGCTGGACAACCTGCTCAAGAAGATGCCCATCTTCAATGTACATAATGCATTTCTATCTGAACGTTTCAACCTCCTGAACAGCACCCAGTTTTAACCACAGAATCAAGTAGAACACGTGTATTATATAGAACATATTATATGTATATCTATGGTTGTAACTCTACCTCTCTCCTCTGTGACATCCTACTGTAGCCTGGTGAGACTCAGACCCTGACAGAGTTTGATGTAAAGTGGAGACACTGGCGCGAGGAGGTAGACCGCTGTCTCCAGGACCAGTCCTTCGCCAGCAACCCCCACCTGGAGGTTATCTGTAAGGTCAGTGGCAGAGCCCAATACCTGCCCTGGCACACTATACCTGCATCTGTGTGGTGATCAGTAGAGCTAGGTAACAGGTATACACTGAATGTACAAAACATTAGGAATATTGAGTTGCACCCCACTTTTGCCCTCAGAACAGTCTCAATTCGTTGGGGCATGGACTCTACAAGGTGTCCAAAGCATTCCACAGGGGTGCTGGCCCATGTTGACTCCAATGTTTCCCACAGTTGTGTCAAGTTGGTTGGATGTCCTTTGGGTGGTGGACCATTCTTGATACACACGGGAAACTGTTGAGTGTGAAAAACCCAGCAGCGTTGCAGTTCTTGACACACTCAAACCGGTGCGCCTGGCACCTACTACCATACCCCGTTCAAAGGCACTTAAATCTTTTGTCTTGCCCATTCACCCTCTGAATGGCACACATACACAATCCATGTCTCAATTGTCTCAAGGCTTAAAAATCCTTCTTTAACCTGTTTCCTCCCCTTCATCTACACTGACTGAAGTGGATTTACCAGGTGACATCAATAAGGGATCATAGCTTTCACCTGGTCAGTCTATGTCATGGAAAGAGCCTAATGTTTTGTACACTCAGTGTAGGTACCTGTAGTATACAATGTGTACCTTAGCCAAAGGGCACTCGCTCTGTACATTTAGAGTCCATGCTTTGGCTCTGTACCTGCATCTGTGTGAGCGTGAACTGTAAAGGAGCCAAAATGATCTGTTTTGTTGGTGCTATCTGTCTCTTCCATCTGCTATCCATATGTTCCACCTGTTGATCCATTCATTCATCCATCCATGGTTTGTCCATACCCTCCTAATTATCCATCCATGGTTTGTCCATACCCTCCTAATTATCCATCCATGGTTTATCCATACCCTCCTAATTATCCATCCATGGTTTATCCATGCCCTCCTTATTATCCATCCATGGTTTATCCATGGTTTGTCCATACCCTCCTAATTATCCATCCATGGTTTATCCATGCCCTCCTAATTATCCATCCATGGTTTATCCATACCCTCCTAATTATCCATCCATGGTTTATCCATGCCCTCCTTATTATCCATCCATGGTTTGTCCATACCCTCCTAATTATCCATCCATGGTTTATCCATGACCTCCTAATTATCCATCCATGGTTTATCCATACCCTCCTAATTATCCATCCATGGTTTATCCATACCCTCCTAATTATCCATGTAGATCCTGGTTGGTGATGAGGATGTTCTCCTGGAGCACAAGGAGCTGCTGAGTACCTGGTATCACTTCCTGGTCACCAGACTGCTGTTCTCCCACCCCACTGTCAAGCCCACAGAGCTGCACTACTACGCACAGGTACTTACTACTACACTACACACTTACTACTGCGCACAGGTACTTACTACTACGCACAGGTACTTACTACTACGCACTGGTACTTACTACTACAAACTGGTACTTACTACTACACTATACACTTACTACTACACACTGGTACTTACTACTACACTATACACTTACTACTACACACTGGTACTTACTACTACACACTGGTACTACCTACAGTGAGGGAAATAAGTATTTGATCCCCTGCTGATTTTGTACGTTTGCCCACTGACAAAGACATGATCAGTCTATAATTTTAATGGTAGGTCTATTTGAACAGTGAGAGACAGAATAACAACAAAACAATCCAGAAAAACACATGTCAAAAATGTTATAAATTGATTTGCATTTTAATGAGGGAAATAAGTATTTGACCCCTCTGCAAAACATGACTTAGTACTTGGTGGCAAAACCCTTGTTAGCAGTCACAGAGGTCAGACGTTTCTTGTAGTTGGCCACCAGGTTTGCACACATCTCAGGAGGGATTTTGTCCCACTCCTCTTTGCAGATCTTCTCCAAGTCATTAAGGTTTCGAGCCTGACGTTTGGCAACTCGAACCTTCAGCTCCATCCACAGATTTTCTATGGGATTAAGGTCTGGAGACTGGCTAGGCCACTCCAGGACCTTAATGTGCTTCTTCTTGAGCCAGTCCTTTGTTGCCTTGGCTGTGTGTTTTGGGTCATTGTCATGCTGGAATACCCATCCACGACCCATTTTCAATGCCCTGGCTGAGGGAAGGAGGTTCTCACCCAAGATTTGACGGTACATGGCCCCGTCCATCGTCCCTTTGATGCGGTGAAGTTGTCCTGTCCCCTTAGCAGAAAAACACCCCCAAAGCATAATGTTTCCACCTCCATGTTTGACGGTGTGGATGGTGTTCTTAGGGTAATAGGCAGCATTCCTCCTCCTCCAAACATGGCGAGTTGAGTTGATGGCAAAGAGCTCGATTTTGGTCTCATCTGACCACAACACTTTCACCCTGTTCTCCGCTGAATCATTCAGATGTTCATTCAGATGTTCATTGGCAAACTTCAGACGGGCCTGTATATGTGCTTTCTTGAGCAGGGGGACCTTGCAGGCGCTGCAGGATTTCAGTTCTTCACGGCGTAGTGTGTTACCAATTATTTTCTTGGTGACTATGGTCCCAGCTGCCTTGAGATCATTGACAAGATCCTCCCGTATAGTTCTGAGCTGATTCCTCACCGTTCTCATGATCATTGCAACTCCACGAGGTGAGATCTTGCATGGAGCCCCAGGACGAGGGAGATTGAGAGTTCTTTTGTGTTTCTTCCATTTGCGAATAATCGCACCAACTGTTGTCACCTTCTCACCAAGCAGCTTGGCGATGGTCTTGTAGCCCATTCCAGCCTTGTGTAGGTCTACAATCTTGTCCCTGACATCCTTGGAGAGCTCTTTGGTCTTGGCCATGGTGGAGAGTTTGGAATCTGATTGATTGATTGCTTCTGTGGACAGGTGTCTTTTATACAGGTAACAAACTGAGATTAGGAGCACTCCCTTTAAGAGTGTGCTCCTAATCTCAGCTCCTTACCTGTATAAAAGACACCTGGGAGACAGAAATCTTTCTGATTGAGAGGGGGTCAAATACTTATTTCCCTCATTTAAAATGCAAATCAATTTATACATTTTTGACATGCGTTTTTCTGGATTTTTTTGTTGTTATTCTGTCTCTCACTGTTCAAATAAACCTACCATTAAAATTATAGACTGATCATTTCTTTGTCAGTGGGAAAATGTACAAAATCAGCAGGGGATCAAATACTTTTTTCCCTCACTGTACCTCTTTAAGGAATACCTGGGATAGTATAAAAGTAATCCTTCTTCCCACCCCCACAAAAAAAAAAAAAAATATATATATATATATAACAAATTAAAATTAAAAATATACTCTAAAAATTAGAAAAATATATATTTTTAAAAATTGTAAAGTGGTTGTCCCACTGGCTATCATAAGGTGAATGCACCAATTTGTAAGTCGCTCTGGATAAGAGCGTCTGCTAAATGACGTAAATGTAAATGGTACTTACTACTACGCACTGGTACTTACTACTACACACTGGTACTTACTACTACACTATACACTTACTACTACGAACTGGTACTTACTACTACACTATACACTTACTACTACACATTGGTACTTACTACTACGCACTGGTACTTTCTACTACGCACTGGTACTTTCTACTACGCACTGGTACTTACTACTACGCACTGGTACTTTCTACTACGCACTGGTACTTTCTACTACGCACTGGTACATTCTACTACGCACTGGTACATTCTACTACGCACTGGTACTTTCTACTACGCACTGGTACTTACTACTACGCACTGGTACTTTCTACTACGCACTGGTACTTTCTACTACGCACTGGTACTTTCTACTACGCACTGGTACTTTCTACTACGCACTGGTACTTTCTACTACGCACTGATACTTTCTACTACGCACTGGTACTTACTACTACGCACTGGTACTTACTACTACGCACTGGTACTTAGTACTACACTATACATGATACAGAGTTGCACTAGTATGCTCTGGGACTTAACACAACACTATGAGTAAGTGTCCTGTCCTATGTGTGTGTTCCAGTCGAGCATGCACATGTTCCTGGACACGAGGAGTGTCCCAGAGCCCCTGGACAGCATCCTGCTGGCAGCCTTTGAGTTTGACATCCACCAGGTCATCAAGGACTGCAGGTGAGGAGGAGCGTCTGTTGACCATAGAAATACAGAAACCATAGTAATGCTATTTCTACGGTATAGAACCCAGGAAGAGTAGCTCCGTTGTTGCTAAGGTAACAGTAACTGCTAATGGGGATAAGAGGAAATAAATGTGGGGGCTAGACACACAATGTGCTTTTCCCTCTGTCTCTCCTCATCTAAACTACTGTTCAGTTTCATATGTTGTGATATTTATGACATGTTATTTGTGCTTTCCAGCATTGCTCTCAACAACTGGTGGTTTGTGGGGCATCTGACTGACCTGCTGGACCACTGTAAACTGCTCCAGTCTCACAACCTACAGTAAGCTAAGCACACCACTGTCCCACAAAGGGTTAACATTAACTGCCAAATGATACAAGCTTTCAATATTGTTCCAATGGTAACATTGGCCATAATCATAGAAAGAGAAATTGGCGTGCTCAGCTCAAATGTTTGTAATAACAAAAAGTATTTGGGTGCCGGATTCAAAAGGCATACACTTGAATAAAGGAAGAACCCATACTCACTGAAATATTTTTATGTATTTTTTTAGCAGCTGAGGTCAGAGCAAACGGAGGCGTTTCGGTGGCAGACTTCATCAGCGTTGATCATAATAACATGTGTTCTCTGTTTGTGTTGATTAGTTTTGGCTCCAACCTGAGGGAGTTTCTACTGCTGGAATACGCCTCAGGACTGTTCACCCATCACAGGTGAGACAGACCACTCTTCTGGTTAGTATAGATTTGACTATATGCATAACTCCCAGTGCCAACATGTCTCTGTTTTTCAATACAGTACAATACAGTTAGAGCAGAGCAATTTTGGCATCGAACTCAAACATATTTTGAAATGCAACATAAAAAAACAACTGAATTAATAAATATTTCAATAAATAAACATACATTTAAACATACACTATCACGTCTGCAAAACTACACATGCAGATACACTGTGTCCAGCAGTTATCTTTCATAGAAAGAGAAGTGTTGTCGGCTAGACATACAGTGGGGAGAACAAGTATTTGATACACTGCCGATTTTGCAGGTTTTCCTACTTACAAAGCATGTAGAGGTCTGTAATTTTTATCATAGTTACACTTCAACTGTGAGAGACGGAATCTAAAACAAAAATCCAGAAAATCACATTGTATGATTTTTAAGTAATTAATTTGCATTTTATTGCATGACATAAGTATTTGATACATCAGAAAAGCAGAACTTAATATTTGGTACAGAAACCTTTGTTTGCAATTACAGAGATCATACGTTTCCTGTAGGTCTTGACCAGGTTTGCACACACTGCAGCAGGGATTTTGGCCCACTCCTCCATACAGACCTTCTCCAGATCCTTCAGGTTTCAGGGCTGTCGCTGGGCAATACAGACTTTCAGCCCCCTCCAAAGATTTTCTATTGGGTTCAGGTCTGGAGACTGGCTAGGCCACTCCAGGACCTTGAGATGCTTCTTACGGAGCCACTCCTTAGTTGCCCTGGCTGTGTGTTTTGTGTCGTTGTCATGCTGGAAGACCCAGCCACGACCCATTTTCAATGCTCTTACTGAGGGAAGGAGGTTGTTGGCCAAGATCTCGCGATACATGGCCCCATCCATCCTCCCCTCAATACGGTGCAGTCGTCTTGTCCCCTTTACAGAAAAGCATCCCCAAAGAATGATGTTTCCACCTCCATGCTTCACGGTTGGGATGGTGTTCTTGGGGTTGTACTCATCCTTCTTCTTCCTCCAAACACGGCGAGTGGAGTTTAGACCAAAAAGCTCTATTTTTGTCTCATCAGACCACATGACCTGCCCTGCCGTGTAGTTCTGGGCTGATCCCTCACCTTCCTCATGATCATTGATGCCCCACGAGGTGAGATCTTGCATGGAGCCCCAGACCGAGGGTGATTGACCGTCATCTTGAACTTCTTCCATTTTCTAATAATTGCGCCAACAGTTGTTGCCTTCTCACCAAGCTGGCTTCTTAAAGAAAAACTAACAGGTCTGTGAGAGCCGGAATTCTTACTGGTTGGTAGGTGATCAAATACTTATGTCATGCAATAAAATGCAAATTAATTACTTAAAAATCATACAATGTGATTTTCTGTATGTTTGTTTTAGATTCCGTCTCTCACAGTTGAAGTGTACCTATGATAAAAATTACAGACCTCTACATGCTTTGTAAGTAGGAAAACCTGCAAAATCCGCAGTGTATCAAATACTTGTTCTCCCCACTGTATAGGTCTCTTCCCCTATTTGACCTCCTCCAGTGCTGCTCCTATTGCATGATTGGTTAAGCTGTGCATGATTAACAAGCTATTTCCTGTCTCTCTGGTCCTCAGCCTGTGGCAGCTGGCTGTGGACTACTTTGACCACTGTCCAGAGTTTGGCCGTGTGTACCTGGAGCTACAGATAGAGCGTGTTCCTCTGGACACGGAGCGCAAGGCCCTGAAGGTGATCAGGATCTGTGAGCAGAGGCAGATGCCTGAACAAGGTAGATATGATGCATATGCATACATGTACGTATGCACACATGCACACACACACACACTTTTCCAAAACAGTTGTCCATCTTACTCTCATGCATGAAGCTCTCACTGAGACTCACATTCAGTCTCACTCCCTTAGTCTCAACATGCACACTTACTAAAATGCACATGGAAAATACATACAAAATCCCCTGATTTGTCATGCCTGTTGTGGAGAACACCCCCTAACTCTTTGGTATAATGTCTCTCTCTGTGTTGCAGTGAGGAGCATCTGTAAGATCATGGCCAAGAAGGCCCTGAGGAACAACAGACTGGGCTCAGCTCTCTCCTGGAGCATCAGAGCCAAAGATGCCGCCTTCGCCACCCTCATATCAGAGAGGTACTGTATGTCTACAGGAGTTTTTACTGATCCTGACCATGTGACCTGTTCAGGAAAAACTCTGGGCCCTAATGGAAGGCTGTGTTTGTTTCCTGGACAGTCGTCGGCCTGTTCTTTAGAACTTTGAAAAAGCCTTCTTCCTTCCTCCTTTCCTTGATGTAACCACTGATCTAACATGAGTGGGTTGATGAAAGCTACATAGTGGAGTCACTGTATTAGATCTGTAATGACTTCAAGAAGGGCAGGAAAGATGTCCTCCCATGACATCCACAGCACTAGTAGTAGCTACCAGACCATTCTGTAGTCTCTCTCGCTCTCTCTTTGGGTTTAACCCAGTCTGTGTCTGTATCCTAGATATAGGTATACAGTATCTCTGTGGTCTATAGATATATCTCTGTGGTCTATAGATATATCTCTATGGTCTAGAATTAGGTATATCTGTGGTCTGTATCTCAGGTTTCTCCAGGACTACTGCGCCAAAGGGACCTTCTCTGATCTGGACCTGATTGACAACCTGGGCCCAGCCATGCTGCTCAGTGACAGGCTTACTTTTCTAGGTATGGGGTGCAAACGTGTACATACACAGACATGAAGCACTGTAAACACACACAACCAAACAGTCCTTGGCAGGGCTCTATGCTGACCTTTTATACAAGTAGCACGTTTGCGCCTAAGTTGAAAAATATAGGCGCACACAAAGAAATTTAGGAGCACAAATCAAAATATTTGAGGTAATAAAGCTAGAATCGTACATTTTTCTAGGCACACTGGTGCTCCTAAATTAAAATTCCAGGTCGCACAGTAAAATGTTTAGGCGCATATGTGAGTAAAATGGTTGCACTGTAGATCCCTGCTTGGTGTTGCTTGTTAACTTGAGATTCAGTCAGCCACATATCACTCACATGCCCCCACACACACACTGGATCAGACCCATAATGTATTTTGGCCTTTCTAGTAAATTATTTACTCTCACATAGGAGAAATGTGGTCCATATAAGGCTGCAGTCTGTGACTTAACGCTGCTGTAACAGCTGATGATAACCTACAGCTGGGGAAAATGTAACATGTGAGTGTAATGTCTCACTTTACAATTAGTCACTCATGAAGGCAGAACTAACTGTTCATTGACTATGATGTATGTAATGTTATCTCGTTCTTAAACATTCAAGTGGAACCACAGTGTATTTACATTTAGGCCAAAACAAGTTATACCAGTGCTGTAGCAAGTAGCAAGTAGAATGAGAATTATCTTTCTAAACAATTCTACAGTGACCATATTGGGTGTTCCATCTGGCATCATGTTTGATTGATTGTTCTCACATCATTTCTCGGATTTTGGTGCATTTCTCAGTGTTAAATACTTGAAACCGTGGCATATTAATTTTACGCCATACTATGTCTGTGTAACCAATGATACCAATGAGAGAGCATCATGTGATTGTATCTGTTTGTTCAGTCTGTTCCCCTCCTGTCCTGGCTCATATTCATTAGGCACCATTTACGGAAGAAAACAGGATGACTACCTGAATATGTCCCATAAGAAACGCTCGTTACCGCTTTCCGTAGCTATTTATTTATTTTTGCTTTGTCCTGATGAATGTGATGCTGTTGTCTGCAGGGAAGTACCGTGAGTTCCACCGTCTGTATGGCGAGAAGCGTTTCTCGGACGCCGCCAAGCTCCTCCTCTCTCTGATGACGGCCAAGATCGCCCCCCGCTCCTTCTGGATGACTCTGCTGACCGACGCCCTGCCCCTGCTGGAGCAGAAAGAGGTCAGCTGGCCCACAGCATTAACTTCGACCCTTGACTAAACATTGAAATTAACTTTTTTGTATTTACGTAGTATATAGCATATTCCATAGATTGAATTTCCCTTTTTTTGGTTTACTAACTAAATATGAACGGCAAGACATCTTTGCAATCTTAAAGCAAATTAATGTCATATTATTTATATATACACTACCGGTCAAAAGTTAGAGAACACCTACTAATTTTTTTTTTTTTTTACTATTTTCTACATTGTAGAATAATAGTGAAGACATCAAAACTATGAAGTAACACATGGAATCATGTAGTAACTAAAAAAGTGTTAAACAAATCAAAATATATTTTATATTTGAGATTCTTCAAATAGCCACCCTTTGCCTTGATGACAGCTTTGCACACTCTTGGCATTCTCTCAACCAACTTCACCTGGAATGCTTTTCCAACAGTCTTGAAGGAGTTCCCACATATGCTGAGCACTTGTTGGATGCTTTTCCTTCACTCTGCGGTCCAACTCATCCCAAACCATCTCAATTTGGTTGAGGTCGGGGGATTGTGGAGGCCAGGTCATCTGATGCAGCACTCCATCACTCTCCGTCTTGGTAAAATATCCCTTACACAGCCTGGAGGTGTGTTGGGTCATTGTCCTGTTGAAAAACAAATTATAGTCCCAGTAAGCCCAAACCAGATGGGATGGCGTATCGCTGCAGAATGCTGTGGTAGCCATGCTGGTTAAGTGTGCCTTGAATTCTAAATAAATCACAGACAGTGTCACCAGCAAAGCACCTCCACACCATCTCCTCCATGGTTCACGGTGGGAACCACATGTGGAGATAATCCGTTCACCTACTCTGCGTCTCACAAAGACACGGCTGTTGGAACCAAAAATCTCACATTTGGACAGATTTCCACCGGTCTAATGTCCATTGCTCGTGTTTTTTGGCCCAAGCAAGTCTCTTCTTCTAATTGGTGACCTTGTAGTGTTTTTTATACTTTTCCTTGTTAAATAAGATTTGGTTCATGTGATCACCTAATCAGTACCTAATTCAGTAGAATGAGGTGTGCCTGTGTTGGAATTCAACAGACACTGGAATGGAATGGCTGTCATACATGTAGAGATGCTGATTTAAGAAATATTTGCAGTGTGTGTGTGTATATATAATCAAAATATTTCAGTTAAGAGATCTCCTTACCTAATTGATTCCCATCAGATCTGTACCTCTGAATATATGCTCTTACCTTTGGCAGGTGGTTTTGTAGATGGTGCCTCTTCAGGCTAATAGCCTTTTACATTCACATTTACATTTTAGTCATTTAGCAGACGCTCTTATCCAGAGCGACTTACAGTTAGTGAGTGCATACATTTTTCATACTTTTGAAGCAGTCAGAAGGCTAAACTCTGGTGTTGTCCTCTTGTAGGTGATTTTCTCTGCTGATCAAACTCATGAGCTGATGTTCTGTCTAGAGGAGCTGACCTCATGGAAGAGTGTTCCCAACCCAGACAGACCCATGCAGGTAATGGGTTACACACACCCCCTTGCCCTCTATCTAATGTCCGTTTCCCTTTCAATCTCCTAACACCCTTTTTTATAATATGCTCTCATCTCTACAGTTGCTTAGCCCAGGGCCAGAAAAGTGACCGTTGGTTTCATTAACATCAATAATTATATAATTATGAGAAGGGCTTACAAATAAAATTTGACAAAAGGACTAATTAAAGGCAGAAAGGAACAGTTCGAGCGCGCAACAAAAAAAAGCTTTATTTATTTTTTTACAACTCCTTTCTACCTTGAATGAGTCCTTTTGGGAGATTCTTGGTCAGCCCGTGTCATGGGTTTTGTTATCGTTGTTGAGCAGCCCTCCTTTCCTTTGTTTGCTGAAGCACGAAGGCCCACCTGCACTATTACATCATCATTATTGAATATGGAATCACTAAAAACATTGAGGATGATCCATTAAATGTGTTTCCCTGTGCTTTTTCAGGATGAGGACATCGAGACGACCAAGATTGAGCTCCTGCGGCTAGCGCTAGCCCGTAACCTGGCCATGGCCATAGTGAAGGAGGGGACAGTGGAAGTTTGACCAACACTTAGACGAGCGCTTATCTTTTTCATTTTATACTGTACATAAACCAAATCTGATCAAAATGTGCTATTTGATAAAGACATTTTTTGATTCTGTGGAAATGCTTGACATGAACACTTTGGCTGGGATTCAAATTCAAGCACACTGCGCTGTCAACAATGTGCCTTTTTAAAGGCAATTTCCCTGACATTCGCTGAGATCGCATTCACAGTAAACCTTTAAGTCAACTTGTCCAGCATTTTTTAGTTCATACAGTTGATTCCTATGCTGATGCCTAAGGTATGAATAGAACAGCAATGCCTTAACAACTTGTTAGAACGACAAAGACAAAAGATTACAATCAGCTAAATTACACCAGATCAAAAGTATCCTTTAAAATAAATACTTTAATTCGCCATGCAGCAAACAAATAGCACATGTAATACAGTATGTACAATCGTAAAACATCCTTCAAGACCTCTACACATCTTCTGACTAGAGACGTTCTACAGACGATAAGTACACCTATGTACAGAGCTATTGTGCCTCTCACAATGCTACAAGCCAGGGACAACCAGAGAGAGGACACGGGGCAAACTGGCTGCTTTCCAATTCCCTAACCTCCCCGAAGTGTTCACTTGCTCACTCATCCTTGTGGATTTAAAAGCAATGTATTAGTGCAAGCATGGGTTAGGAGTTTCCACCATATTCTCACATCCTTCCATTCCTTTTGAATCTGTTAGGATGAAGGTTAGCGAATCAACCTTTCACCATAGATGAAGTATGAAATCAGTGCCCTATTGTGGGCTCAATATTACTGGAAATGATTTTGACTCCTTGGTTTCACCTTCCTCCGTGTTAGTTCCAACTTGTGTCAGATTACGCTTTCAGTCAGTGTTAAGCTTGGTCAATTCAGTGATGCACTGAAATACTAAAACTGAAATAAATAAAACAATACATAATTCCAATACTGACAATGGAGAAAATAATATTACACATCCTAAAACTCAGGACTAACGGATATCTTAACTCTGACAGACAACTTCGAAAACTCCAAAACACCATGGCAAGCATCAGAGGGAGTATAAGAAGAACCCGTACATTAAACCAACTAAGGTTTGCATTTATGATCACAACTTACAGAAACATGCCAGGAGTAACCACAATATTGATTAGAGTGTTGCTAGGAAACCCAGTCATCAAAATAGTAGCTGTATATTAGTCTGTGGTAAGACCTAAAGATGGTCCAGCAAACCCATTAAATAACTAATATCATTGAGAAATACAATATACCTCACTTAAAAACAATGTCATAATAATCACCACAATTATGTCTAATAAGCATGATCACTGGATATGCACTGAAGAAATATTGAAACACCTGATGGAATCATGTTCGAGGCTTTTGTCAACAGCTAGCTAGCACCCACATCTAATCAACATAACTTCCTGTATCTTGACTCAAGTTTTAAGTCTGAGCTAACATACTAGCTAGCAAGTCCTCCGGATAAGATTCCCAGATTTCACCAAGTTCTATTCCAGTTATAGGACTAATCAATCATTTTTCCTAGTTATAAGCTCTGAATAATAATGTCCATTCTAGAATGCCCTTCTAGCCCATCAGAAACAAGCATTTAACAATATATATATTGGGTTCAGGTCTGGAGACTGGCTAGGCCACTCCAGGACCTTGAGATGCTTCTTAAGGAGCCACTCCTTAGTTGCCCTGGCTGTGTGTTTCGGGTCGTTGTCATGCTGGAAGACCCAGCCACGACCCATCTTCAATGCTCTTACTGAGGGAAGGAGGTTGTTGGCCAAGATCTCGCGATACATGGCCCCATCCATCCTCCCCTCAATACGGTACAGTCGTCCTGTCCCCTTTGCAGAAAAGCATCCCCAAAGAATGATGTTTCCACCTCCATGCTTCACGGTTGGGATGGTGTTCTTGGGGTTGTACTCATCCTTCTTCTTCCTCCAAACACGGCGAGTGGAGTTTAGACCAAAAAGCTCTATTTTTGTCTCATCAGACCATATGACCTTCTCCCATTCCTCCTCTGGATCATCCAGATGGTCATTGGCAAACTTCAGACGGGCCTGGACATGCGCTGGCTTGAGCAGGGGGACCTTGCGTGCGCTGCAGGATTTTAATCCATGACGGCGTAGTGTGTTACTAATGGTTTTCTTTGAGACTGTGGTCCCAGCTCTCTTCAGGTCATTGACCAGGTCCTGCCGTGTAGTTCTGGGCTGATCCCTCACCTTCCTCATGATCATTGATGCCCCACGAGGTGAGATCTTGCATGGAGCCCCAGACCGAGGATGATTGACCGTCATCTTGAACTTCTTCCATTTTCTAATAATTGCGCCAACAGTTGTTGCCTTCTCACCAAGCTGCTTGCCTATTGTCCTGTAACCCATCCCAGCCTTGTGCAGGTCTACAATTTTATCCCTGATGTCCTTACACAGCTCTCTGGTCTTGGCCATTGTGGAGAGATTGGAGTCTGTTTGGTTGAGTGTGTGGACAGGTGTCTTTTTATACAGGTATCAAGTTCAAACAGGTGCAGTTAATACAGGTAATGAGTGGAGAACAGGACGGCTTCTTAAAGAAAAACTAACAGGTCTGTGAGAGCTGGAATTCTTACTGGTTGGTATACATACATACAGTACCAGTCAAAAGTTTGGACACCTACTCATTCAAGGATTTTTCTTTATTTTTACTATTTTCTACATTGTAGAACAATAGTGAAGACATCAAAACTATGAAATAACACATGAAATCATGTAAACAAATCCAAATATTTTATATTTGAGATTCTTCAAAGCAGCCACACTTTGACTTGATGACAGCTTTGCACACTCTTGGCATTCTCTCAACCAGCTTCACCTGGAATGCATTTCAATGAACAGGTGTGCCTTGTTAAGTTGATTTGTGGAATTTCTTTCCTCCTTAATGCGTTTGAGCCAATCAGTTGTGTGACATGGTAGGGGTGCTTAACAGAACATAGCCCTATTTGGTAAAAGACCAAGTCCATATTATGGCAAGAACAGCTCAAATAAGCAAAGAGAAACGACAGTCCATTACTTTAAGACACGAAGGTCAGTCAATACGGAACATTTCAAGAACTTTGAAAGTTTCTTCAAGTGCAGTCGCAAAAACCATCAAGCGCTATGATGAAACTGGCTCTCATGAGGACCACCACAGGAAAGGAAGACCCAGAGTTACCTCTGCTGCAGAGGATAAGTTCATTAGAGTTAACTGCACCTCAGATTGCAGCACAAATAAATGCTTCACAGAGTTCAAGTAACAGACACATCTCAACATCAACTGTTCAGAGGAGACTGTGTGAATCAGGCCTTCATGGTCAAATTGCTGCAAAGAAACCACTACTAAAGGACACCAATAAGAAGAGACTTGCTTGGGCCAAAAAACACGAGCAATGGACATTAGACCGGTGGAAATCTGTCCTTTGGTCTGAGGAGTCCAAATTTGAGATTTTTGGTTCCAACCGCCATGTCTTTGTGAGACGCAGAGTAGGTGAACGGATGATCTCCGCATGTGTGGTTCCCACCGTGAAGCATGGAGGAGGAGGTGTGATGGTGTGGGGTGGTGCTTTGCTGGTGACACTGTCGTGATTTATTTAGAATTCAAGGCACACTTAACCAGCATGGCTACCACAGCGATACACCATCCCATCTGGTTTGTGCTTAGTGGAACTATCATTTGTTTTTCAACAGGACAATGACCCAAAACACACCTCCAGGCAGTGTAAGGGTTATTTGACCAAGGAGAGTGAAGGAGTACTGCATCAGATGACCTGGCCTCCACAATCCCCCGACCTCAACCAAATTGAGATGGTTTGGGATGAGTTGGACCGCAGAGTGAAGGAAAAGCAGCCAACAAGTGCTCAGCATATGTGGGAACTCCTTCAAGACTGTTGGAAAAGCATTCCAGGTGAAGCTGGTTGAGAGAATGCCAAGAGTGTGCAAAGCTGTCATCAAGGCAAAGGGTGGCTATTTGAAGAATCTCAAATATAAAATATATTTTGATTTGTTTAACACTTTTTTAGTTACTACATGATTCCATATGTGTTATTTCATAGTTTGTCTTCACTATTATTCTACAATGTAGAAAATAGTAAAAATAAATTACATTTAACATTTACATTTAAGTCATTTAGCAGACGCTCTTATCCAGAGCGACTTACAAATTGGTGCATTCACCCTATAGCCAGTGGGTTAACCACTTTCCAACATTTATTCTTTTTTTTTTTCTTTTTTTTTTGGGGGGGGGGGGGGGGGCTAGAAGGATTACTTTATCCTATCCTAGTTATTCCTTAAAGAGGTGGGGTTTCAAATGTCTCCGGAAGGTGGTGAGTGACTCCGCTGTCCTGGCGTCGTGAGGGAGCTTGTTCCACCATTGGGGTGCCAGAGCAGCGAACAGTTTTGACTGGGCTGAGCGGGAACTATGCTTCCGCAGAGGAAGGGGAGCCAGCAGGCCAGAGGTGGATGAACGCAATGCCCTCGTTTGGGTGTAGGGACTGATCAGAGCCTGAAGGTACGGAGGTGCCGTTCCCCTCACTGCTCCATAGGCAAGCACCATGGTCTTGTAACGGATGCGAGCTTCAACTGGAAGCCAGTGGAGTGTGCGGAGGAGGGGGGTGACGTGAGAGAACTTGGGAAGGTTGAACACCAGACGAGCTGCGGCATTCTGGATGAGTTGTAGGGGTTTAATGGCACAGGCAGGGAGCCCAGCCAACAGCGAGTTGCAGTAATCCAGACGGGAGATGACAAGTGCCTGGATTAGGACCTGTGCCGCTTCCTGTGTAAAGCAGGGTCGTACTCTCCGAATGTTGTAGAGCATGAACCTGCAGGATCGGGTCACCGCCTTGATGTTAGCGGAGAACGACAGGGTGTTGTCCAGGGTCACGCCAAGGCAATAAAAACCCTTGAATGAGTAGGTGTGTCCAAACCTTTGACTGGTACTGTATGTGTGTGTGTGTGTATATATATATATATATATATATATATATATATATATATATATATATATATATATATATATATATATATATATAAATAAATAAGTGTCTGGTCATAATAATTAGTTTAGTTATATTTCCTTTTCCAGCTAGTCTATGTGCTGTATCCAGTAGCTGCAGGGCGGGACTACGTTTGTTAGGAAATGTGCTGTATACAGGGACAACTGGCTGGTCTGCTAAAACACCTTGTAGTTGTTCTCAGTTAATGAACACACTTAATAACAAATCAAGAGAGAGATTTGTAACCTCCATTTGGTGCATCTTTGTATCAATGTCTTAAACATGGAAAAAGCATATGTAATAATAATATGCCATTTAGCAGACGCTTTTATCCAAAGCGACTTACAGTCATGTGTGCATACATTTTTACGTATGGTTGGTCCCGGGGATCGAACCCACTACCCTGGCGTTACAAGCGCCATGCTCTACCAATTGAGCTACAGAGGACCACAACATTACATTTTTAGCAGACGCTCTTATCCAGAGCGACTTACAGGAGCAATTAGGGTTAAGTGCCTTGCTTAAGGGCACATCGACAGATTTTTCACCTAGTCGGCTCGGGGATTAGAACCAGCGACCTTTCGGTTACTGGCACAACGCTCCTACCCACTAAGCTACCTGCCGCCCACTAAGCTACATGTCTCTTTGCTCTTGTGTCCCTTTTAGTTGAGATGCAGTCCTGGAATAATATGCAATACAAACTCTGTTAAGCTCTGCAAGCTATTGCAAAACTGGCTTAAACTGTATGCCATGTATGCTATATTACGCTTACAAAGTTACAGGTGCCTCAATAGCAACTGGGCAATTACAAAGAAAACATCAAAACAATCTAAAAGAAACGGAAGGGTTGGCTGGTAGGTAGCACTATGTTGGTACTGTAACATTGCAGCACATTTCTCCCACCCTATTCTCTCCTTGGCTTCTCTCTCTCTCTGGGGTATGTGTGGTTAACACCCCCATCATGGAGTGTTGGTTTGGACCACCTCGGCTCTGTGGTGTATGGGGGTGGCTATAGGTGACCCCATCTGTCTGGCGGGGGGAACTGGTCCACCTCGCCCACCTCTGAGCACTGCCTGTTTCCGAGAGTGAACGCCAGCTTGTAGCGCAGACGCACCTTCTCCTGCAAGAGGCAAAAGTTTGAAGAAGGTCAGCAAGGGGTTTCACAAAGACTATAAAGTGTAAGGAAGCCCATCAGGTCCAAAAAGACCTAGGCTCTATCTCAATTAATCTTTCCTTGATTCCTCACATCCTCTCTCTCCTCGTCTCCCCAAAACACATTGGAGAAGAGTCAGAGAGGAGGGACCATGAACCTCCAATACAGTTGAAAAGATGAGATAGGATGCAAGGAAACATGGAAAGATGAATTGAGATCGAGCCCTTGTCCTACAATGACTCTGGCCTGTGTATTAGAGAAGTGGGCTGCTCCCTAACCACGTGACCTGGGCCCTAGGTAGGTCATATGACTTTTCCCTGACCATGTGACCTTACCAGGAAATACTCCTGGCCCTGCTCTTACCTTCAGGGGATTGGCCAGCAGCATGACCTGTGTGACGGAGGCCGGGGGAAGGATGGGGTTAAAGGGAGCCAGCTCTGTTCCTGACGGAGGCTGCAGCTTCACCTTCATGGACTGGAGGACAAGGAGAGGAGGGGTTAAGGAGTGTGTGAAAGTGGGTTTGTGGGTGAAATTACACACTGAAGATGGCTGCAAAGCCGAAACGTCTGTGTTCGCTATCCCTGATGCAGTGAAAATAATCAAACATCTATTTTAAAAATGAAGTAAGCTTTATGCAACATTTTTGAGTGCGGACCCATCACCTTTTGTTTGGATGAAATGATACAATGTTTGAGTGAGTAAGTTTACAGGAGTGGCCAGACCTGTAAGTGTTATATGAGTGCATGTGTACACATTGCCCTGAGACATGGCTGTAGACTCCTATGGCGTCTAGACACGGCAAGTGTACACAAAGCGTGTGCGTGTACCATGTGTGTATTGCGCCTGGGTGTTACCTTTGGCACGGCGGCCTGTAGGACCACGTTCTGAATGGGCAGTGGTGCAGTGTTCTGCATGGACACCACTAACACCAGTACGTCTGGTCTGCAAGGGGGACAGTCTGAGGCAAAGTTCAACAGCACACGCACCCCGTCCTTATCATAGGCCGTTACAGGGAGCACTTTACCTGGAGGGGATAGGACAGAGGCAATGAGAGGCTATATCAATGTTATCCAGACAGTGTACTGTGGACATCAAATGGTTAAAAAAGACGAACAACGTTCAATTTCACAGGAGGATATAAGAGGCATTTCCTGTTCCCCTTTCTACCTCCCTCCCCTATCTGCAGGACTCACTGGGTCTGATGGCCTCCAGGGGGACGTGCACGTTGCCCAGGGAGGCCTCCGGTCCTAGCCCCCTGGCTGGACTGCCCCCCTGGAAGGAGGAGTGATGGAAGGGGGAGAGGGAACTGAACAGGGGGCTGCCCGGGGCGGAGCTCAGCGTCTTGGCTTTGGTGTGGGACACCGCTGGGGAGCCGGGCATGGGGCCTGGGAGGAGGGAGGTCGAGGAGAGGGGGACCGGGGGGACGATGGCCCCCAAGGAGGGTGCCATCCCGAATCGGCCACCAACGCGCAAACTGGAAACGACAGAAAACATGAGCTCTCTGTGGAGACATAACTAAATCAAACAAGCAAGTGTGCAATCAAGAGCATGTTGATTTGTACCATATTCAGGATAATGTTGAGTAGCATCTAGTAATGTAATGATGGGATGCACTATTAATGACAACCCTGAGCCTTCGGATTACCTCAGAAATGTTGCTTCACTTCAGCCATGCACTGAAGCACCTGATCTAATTCAATGTGGGTAATATAATACCTTGAATTGATCTACAATATTACCAGCGAAGTAAAGCGAGTAAGGTTAATTGAGCACCTCTTTGGCTCTCCAAAGTCCAGCATGGCCAGGTCTTGGAGGTCCTGGAGGCTGTGGGTGGCGGGGGCCGTGGCGGGGGCTGGCGCTGGCTGGACTGGGGGAAATACTGGGCCTGGTCCCGCTATAGCGCCAAACAAGTCCAGGCCAGGATCAGGAGCCTGGAGATGGATAGAAGGGAAGAGACACTTACAAATCTACCCAATGTATCACAAGAGTTGTGCAAACTACCTCACTGGTAGAGACACAGAAAATGACAGGAGAAAACAAGTAATGCTTTTTAATGCTCTGACCATTGTGGTCATCATCAAGAAGAACTACCTGTAAGGAGGTCCACGGATTGGCTATTTCATCCAGCTTTGGTTTTGATTGGCTGCTCAGAGAAGGAACTGGATTGTTCAGGCCTGAAAAAAGACAGAAGGGAAATTATTATTATTATTGACCCTTATTTTACCAGGTAAGTTGACTGAGAACATATTCTCTTTTACAGCAACGACCTGGAGAATAGTTACAGGGGGGAGGAGAGGGGATGAATGAGCCAATTGGAAGCTGGGGATGATTAGGTGGCCATGATGGTATGAGGGCTAGATTGGGAATGTTGCCAGGACACCAGGGTTAACACCCCTACTCTTATGATAAGTGCCATGGGATCTTTAGTAACCACAGAGTGTCAGGACACCCGTTTAACGTCCCATCCGATAGACGGCACCCTATGCAGGGCAATGTCCCCTTCACTGCCCTGGGCATTGGTATCCCCTTAGACCAGAGGGAAGAGTGCCCCCTACTGGCCCTCCAACACCATTTCCAGCAGCATCTGGTCTCCCATCCAAGGACCTACCAGGACCTAATCTGCTGAGCTTCAGAGACAATTCAGCAGTGGGATGCAGGGTGGTATGCTGCTGGCATAATGAAATTAAGTACCATGGGGTATTGTCTGAACATTGGTGAACACAGTCCTCATGAATATATTTTGAATAAAAATCAAATAGGAAATATGGCCTACATTTAATAAAAATGCGTTTACACATAACTTCCATAAAATGCAAGGTCAGTGAGGTACCTAAGGATAGCAGCTCATCGTCAAGGAGAGAGAGAGCATTGAGGGCCTTGTCGGTGGCTGGGAGGCTGGGGCTGTTGTTCTGACTGGCATGCGACCCGGCCAACCTTTTTGGAGGAGGAGGCAAGACAGGGATTGGGAACCCCAGGTGATTAGCTGTGGGATCGGAGACCAATGGGAGAGGGGCAGGCGGAGGAGGGGTGGAGTTTGGAATGTCAATGCCAGCCAGGTCAATCAAGGTCTCTGTGTTGTCACTGTTCCCTGTGGTCTCTGTATAATAGAGAGAGGGAAAGAGGGAGAGGTGGAGAGAGGTAGAAGGAAGCAGAGAGATGAATTGAAATCGAATGAGGTAGAAAGAGAGAGATACAAAATGGCAGAAAGGAAACAGTTTGCTCTGAAAGTGCTATGAAAAGAGCTGAAAGTGTGCATGCCATCACTCACCTTCACCAGCTGCAGATCTAGGATCCTCGCTGTCTCCATTCACCGTCTGTCCCTTGACAATCTTCTTGTAGGAGTTGATGACCCGTGAGAGGTCATCGCTGGCCTGCAGGATCTCACCTGGAGGGCAAAGGTCAGAGGTTAAGAGATGGAACAACAAATAACAATGTAAGAGGTAGAAAAACATTAAAATAACTGTATTTCCTCACCTAAACTTGTGTCGTTATCTTCAGTCTCGGTGGCCATTTTGAAAGCAGCGCGTCTCAACTTGTCGCAGCGGTCATATAGTTCCTGTTATTAAAGGAAATGTACGACGACATGCTTCAATCAGCCACTGACACGGTTTACAATTCAAATTAATTTCACATAACATCAAAGTCTACCACACTCATATCATTCTAGCAGCCATTCCTAATTCGCTCCCTACCCCTTCCCCTTGGCCCTACCACTTCCTCTTGGACATAACACTTTGGTGTTTGCAGATATGTAAGGAGTAAGCAATATGATGGAAGCTCCACCACTAAACTGCTTATACCTATCCAGACCCTTCAGATCTGCAAGCATCGAAAGGTTAGGGCCCAGGGGAAGTGGTAGGGAACAAATTGGGACTGGCTGTAAAACTGTTAAGGACTGGCTATAGCCTGAGGTGATATATAGGGGTCTTATTGCTTCACAGGGAGAAAAGATGATAAGTATCTAAGTAACGCACAGTTCAGATGCTGAACTTTTGGCAAGTAGAACTGAATAGAAATGAAAAGTGGGCTGGCACGGCTGAGAGCCTGCTTGACGTACCGATTGCTTTCATACAACCGCTCTCTCAACACTGCAGACTTCCTCGTAGCTTTTGGGTTGAATTCAGGCATAACAGCCACCTATCAGAAGTCCTCCACCTGTGAATCAGCCATGATTGTGCTTCCATTGTGGGTGTGGTAGCCAAGCAACCTTTATTTGCATGCAATTAACATATATTCATATTCATGACCATTTCTCCCGACAGTGGAAGAACTGCTCTGGCACACTGCATGAAACAGAGGCATGCTTCACAATCACTGCGCCACAAGAGCAGCAGAGACTGACAAACTATTGTCGAAGGTCAGACGAGGCGCACTATGGTTTCAGACGGCACTCTATCCCCGCTCTTCCAAAGAGAAAGTGACATATTATTTTGTTCGGTGCGGCGATAGAGCGATGTTTGAACTAGGGCTAAGTGTGATGTGTGTGGAGTCTGAACGGAACACACACCTTGATGATCTCTCTGTCTGACTGGGAGGACCTGTCCTTGTCGTAGTGGGACAGCATCTCACTCAGCAGCTTGACATTGATGCCCACCTCCTCCAGAGTGTGGATGCGTTTGGTCACTTTCTGAACCCTGACATCGTCCTGGGAGAATAAGGGTTAATAAGATGTTCAAGACTTGTTATAACATTGTTATACATTGCTATAACAGCCTTATATGCATGCGCAACAGTTATATTGTAAATACATTCAGCCGTCCTGGGAAAACAGAACGATACAAGTGTGATAGAGAACTTCTAACATGGATGCATGATCGGCTATGATAACATTTTCTAAGAACCATCTGTGTGTAATGTTTTCTATAGTGTATTTATTATACCATGGTGAATTATTAAAGCAATAAGGCCCTGAGGAGGTGTGGTATATGGCCAATATACCACAGCTAAGGGCTGTTCTTATGCATGACGCAACACGGAGTGCCTGGATACAGCCCTTAGCTGTGGTATATTGGCCATATACCACAAACCCCCGAGGTGCCTTATTGCAATTATAAACTGGTTACAAACATAATTAGAACAGTAAAAATAAATGTTTTGTCATACCCGTGGTATACGGTCTCATATATCAATAAGCATTCAGGGCTCGAACCACCCAGTTAATAAAAGCCTTTCTATAAGCATTTATTACCACTAAAAGCTAGTTAAAACAGTCTTATGAACCCATTATGATTATGAACACACAGGTGGTATGTCACAGGCTGAGTATGAGCATTCATAACAGCTTACGGCTCCTTACAACAGCCTTTATAAACACTTAAAGGGCAGGTCGTTGTCTCTCACCTCCTTCACCATGTTCTTGATGAGCCTGTTGGCTTCCTGCAGGTCCTCTGGGTTTTTGCTCCTCAGAAGCTCTGCTAGCAGCTAAACACACATAAAGGCATGTCCCTGTCAAATATCCATGGTGACATTGACATCTGCTTGTTTGACCCTATCTGTACATCAGTGGTCAGCAATGCTGGTCCTAGAGAGCTAGAAGGAATGCAGGCTTTTGTTCCAGCCCAGCACGATAACCCCCGTTTCAGCAAATCAAGGTTTCAGTGTTTTGCTGTAAGTAGGTGTGTTAGTGCTGGGCTGAAACAAAAAAAAAAAAGTCTGCACACCACACATAGTTCTCTAGGACCAGGGTCCAGGACCAGGGTTAAAGACCAGTACTGTGGATACACTCAGTCTGGAGCCAGTGTCTCACCTTGCCCATGTCCTCATTGTCAAACACAGGGTTATTGGGACGTGTGGGGGGTGAAGGAATCAGAGTCTTGTCCACTGGGAGCTCAGGGTCCGTAGTTACAAGGCCTGAAGAGGGGAAGGTGTGTGTGATTTAGTTTACAGATAAGATTTAAAGAATAACCTAAAATAACTCTATGGGACTATTCATCACAAACAGAGTTCCATTTCAAAGCAATGAGGAAAATTGATGAAGAATATCAGTTTACTTCCTGAATTGAAATGGTATTAAGCAGGGAGCCTAGCGGTTAGAGCGTTGGGCCAGCAACCAAAAAATTGGTTGATGTGCCCTTGAGCAAGGCACTTAAGCCTAATTGCTCAAGGGTCGCCATTGATAATGGCAGACCCTGGCTGTGAACACACTCTCCGGGAGTTGGGATATGCAAAACACATTTCCAACAGGACAAATATAAGCACCCACCTAGTTATTATTATTTCCTGATAGGAAACAGTGTTCCATTTCAAAGCAATGAGGAAAATTGAGGAAGGATATCCTTTAACTTCCTGAATTTAAATGGTATTGAGCCTGAGCCCAATCACACACAAAGAAATAGCAGAGGATATTTCCTGATTGGAGGACAAAGGTCTTTCGGTTATCACTAGTTACCACAGCCACAAAGTCATAAACCCCACCCATTTCTACAATTTATTTTCTTAAAATGTGATTTTAAACCTAAACTTATCCACACTGCTAACCTTATACCTAACCCTAACTTTAAATTAAGACCAAAAAGCACATTTAAATTTTCATTAATTTTTACGATATAGCCAATTTTGACTTTGTGGCTAATTATTATTATTATTATTATATTATATAGTGATGGGGGGGAAATCGATACAGTTACATATCAGGATATAATTTGACAATATATCGTATCGTATTGACAATATCGCAATATTATTTTTGCGCTAGTTTGCTGTATCTAAAACCAAAACTCCAGTATTTTTCCTTCATAGCTTGTTCTCAATCTTCTTTTTATATTATGAACCAATTTCTTTTCAGCTATTTTATTTGCAATGACTGATCAAAACTTGTTTTCTCATGACTCTCTCTTTTCCCTCTGCAGCAGACATATGGTGAGCAATATGTTTGGAACATCGAATCGCAATAAAATCACAGTATCGAATCGTAATATATATAGAATCGTGAGAATCACAATGCATATCGTATCGGCACCCAAGTATCGTGATAATATCGTATCGTGAGGTCCCTGACAATTCCCAGCCATAGTGGCTGTGGTAACTAGTGGAAACCAAGTCTTACCCTGTCTCCTTAGTGTCTGGTATGCTTCGTTGATTTTGGCCTCATTGGGGAAAGCCACTGTCCAGCTGTACAGCATTTCAATGATCTTAGTCTTCACCTTCTCTGGCACTCTGTCTCCCATGTACTAGATATAAGTGTACCAGATATTTGTCAGTGATGTATTCACACACAGCACACAAGGAAAATAGAAGAAGAATAGAATAACGCATTCAGGATACCAAGTCCACTCACCTTGGGAGAAACAACTTTGATCAGCTCGTTCAGAAACCGATATTTCCCGATTTCATTATGAAACCTTCTCCCGCAGTTCTTCATACATGCCTCTAATACCTGGGAGAATTACATTTGTTAAATGTTTTAATTTTGTCAGTGGAGGCTGCTGAGGGGAGTATGGCTCATAATAATGTCTGGAACAAACTTAATGGAATGGCATCAAACACAAAGAAACCATGTGTTTGATACCATTCCACTGATTCCGCTCCAGCCATTACCATGAGCCTGTCCTCCCCAATTAAGGTGCCACCAACCTCCTGTGGCCTATATAGCCCTGAGACAAGACTGTATACTCCATATGAGTACATACAGCTATGCCTCAGGGCTAGAACACAATATTGGACAAAATGAAATAGTACAAACAAACAATACTCACTGTTAAAGCCTGAAGCGCCTCCCATTCTTGCGGCGATTGGATTTTGTGAGCCAGCAACCTGACAGCTATCTGGGGACTGCACAAAGAGATTGGGTTACATTGACACATTTCCTATACATACTATAACAATGGGTCAAAGATAGCTAATACATACTGAATTTACACAATGGTATTAGGTGAATCAGGAAGTAACATACCCTTCCAATTCCTTATTGATCTGGTCACAGAAACCGATGATGTACTCCCAATCCTCCTGTCTGTTTGTTGGATGGGTGGCTTTATCTATAGTGAGATCAAATAAGACGACAATGTGTTTAACACATGCCTTTACAGTTGAGAGCTGACAGACTTGTTGAAAGGACAACACATGTGAGCAACCTGACACTGACAGTCAAGAATTCGATTGTGTCATCCATCCTCTGTCATCCTCCACATTGCACTGGCTACTAGCATCAATGCCACAACGAGTATACATGCAGTGTAGCCACCACTGTAACGTTAGCCCCCAGTTCCTCGAAAGGCTATCAATTATACCTGTCAACCAACACAAGATAGGCGCTTGATACTAAAATCGTGATCATCAATTCAGCTGTCTTAACTCTCGAAATCAAAAGGGAGCTCAGCTGAGGTTCAGCGGCCACATCCCCTGGGTTTATGCTTGAATGTTTGCCTCCCACAACTGATCCAGATTCAGTGCCCAGCTTTCCTGAAACGGCTGCTTAGAACGAGAACGCTAACACAGATCCTAGAATCGGGATGCCTCGAAGGCAGTAGCCCTGGAGGATTGCAGACAGTTCAACAGATCGCACTCTTCATTCATTCACTCCATTAATTCAATGCAATGCAATAAGCTAATAATGTCAATTAATTGATTGGATACATAGGTTAATTCACTCACTGAGCCAGGATTCTAGCGTCTCCCCTTCCTGGTACGCCATAGCATTGGAAACATCGCGTGATGACATCACCAATGTGTGCAACTATGCGCGAGAATCACGCAGTCTGCGTTGTCAATAAATCCTAGAAAAATATGAATTTATTGCTTGGTGTAAACATTTTGAAATTCGAACACTTAGCTGAATAATGATTTATTTGGGAAAATAAATCATAAACATTTGTTTTGCTTTGTGGCATCTACAGAGAGCTTACCCAGGGGTCTTCGAGGCACCACATTTTCCAAGATGGCTGCCTCCATCACAGGTTTACTAAAACCTTGGACAACAAGGTAATTATAATTTTGCTGATTAACGATTGCAAACATCGATGAAATGTAGTGGATGTGTATCTTAACACTGATACTGCACTAGTATGACACTTATCATTGCACAAGCTGTCTTGCACCCATGCAGACGTGATTATATAACTAGCTAGCTAACGTTAATTCAGCTACCTACAGTCAGTGACATTTAAATTCTACCTTGTTCGTTTTTTTATTTAGAGACATGCCACCCAGTGTATTCATTGTAGCAAAATACAAAATCACCAGTGCTGTAAGAACATGTTTGTGAATCCGTGTGAGTGTGGCTGGCCACGATCTGTTCATATAGATTTAACAAGCAAAGCAAGCATAGAAACATTCTAGCTCAGATCCAGGGCGCGAGGGGACAGGACCAGATCTAAGAAACACTAGTTACCCCTTATGTTTCTGCAAGCAACATTAGATGGTTAAACGATCATATAAAGATATGTTCCATGATAGACTATAACCATTGCATTGTATTTGACTATTAAACATGAAGTGTCATAACCTTCTGTTGCTCATGCTTCTCTAGGGTATTTCTGGTGAGATGGAGCAGGTACAACCCTTACTACCTGGAGCCCGAGCCTCGGAAAGAGGTGTACCACATCCCAGAGACTGAGCTCACACCTGAGCAGAAAGAGGAGAGGGAGCTGAAATCTGTCAGGCCCATAAAGGCAGCCACCAGCTCTGTCACCAGCTCTGTTTTCAACGACCCTGTGTTGAGGTACCTAACCCTAACACACACTCATGCATAAGCATACATACACACACACACACACTGAAATACATGTAGCTAGGTCATGTGGTTGTATGTTTATGCAGTGTGAATTACAGTTAATCACTATTCTTTCTCTTCACAGCAAGTTTGTCAACATGATGATGAAAGATGGTGACAAGATTATAGCCAAAGGTATCATCACACAGGTAGAAGTGGGATTCTATGGGACTGTTTGATGGAATGATTGATATAGTTTGCCAAGTAATGTAAATATACACTAATGCCCATCCTTATCTCTTCCCAGACATTGGAGGACATGAAGAGAAAACAGGTGGAGAAGTACCACAAAGCCCCCAAGGGAAAGAAGGCAGAGGTCGAGTGTAATCCATACGCCATCTTCCACCAGGCTCTGGAGAACTGCAAACCTGTCATTGGCCTGGCTAGCATTCAGAAAGGGGGCAAGTTCTATCAGGTCAGTGCTCTCACCAGTTCTACAGTCACCAGGGTCTTATTCATTAGTGCACAACGTAGCAAAACGTTCTGCAACGTAACGAAAACAAGCGTTCAGGTAGTCCCTCCCTGTTTCTCTTTTCTTCTCTTTGGTGCCTAATGAGCACAACCTTGGGGTGATAGATTTAGTAGAAAAGTGTACATCAACTCTTTATTCTCCACTATACAGACATGACATAAAATTTATTGAATATCTTTAGTCTCATACAGTAATGCATTCAGTGTGTAATGACGTCCTGTATTGTCCCTGTCCACTCTGCAGGTGCCCATCCCTCTGACAGGCAACAGGCGGCGCTTCCTGGCCATGAAGTGGATGATCACAGAGTGCCGGGATAACAAGCACAGACGCACGCTGATGTACGAAAAACTATCACAGGAACTGCTGGCTGCCTTCTCCAAGGAGGGCAACGTGGTCAAACGGAAACACGAACTGCACAAGATGGCCGAATCCAACAGAGCCTACGCCCACTATCGCTGGTGGTAGTTGTCGACTTTGAAGCCTGGGAGCAGCATTCAAAATGGGACCTTCTGGACTGGAAGGAATTCACCTCAAGTTTGACCGAAGGGACAATGGATTGGATTTCCTTGTTGGAAAAAAAAACCATCATGGACATTTGTGCAACACATCATGGGAGATTGTCTTCAATGTAGGGCAATGACAGGCATTGTAAATATAAAGCTCTTGGACTCCATTGTGAAATATTTGGAATGGTGTGTATCCAAGTATACTGACCATGAATACAATTACTGTAAATGTGGCTTCTTTTACTAAAAATTTATTATGGTTCAATAAAGAATGATTGTGAAAACATTACAAATGACATGATCACATACTGTATTTAGAATATAGGTGCATTCATCAACAGTGTAATCTTAAAATAAATGCAAAGCTTTGTTAAACCCAGGTCAACTTTATTTGAACATGTGATTTTTCTTCAATCTGCAGTCAATGTACAACAGTAGCAAAAAGGAGTTGAACCAATGTTTGTACTTCTGACATTTGAACAGATTGTCAGATACCCAATTATAGTAATGGAAATATTTATAGGAAAATATAATACACTGAACTCTGTCATAACACAGTAAATTCAAACTTTCTGTACATCTACTAGAGTAGTTAAATGTACAAAATGCTCAAACTTATTTGGTAATTCGGTGTAAAACAAAAGGTATGTGGCAAACTGGGTGCTGCACTTCCTGTCCAATTTAGGTTTCTACTGAATTACTTTACTTTGAATACTTGGTATTTATGTAGCAATAAATAGGCCCTATAGCATATACACATTTACTTTAAAATAATCTACTTTCAACATCATGGCCCTATCAAATATGCTCAAACTAGTGGGTGACCAACAGCAAGTTTATTTTAGTGCAGTGTTTCTAACAAGCCTTGTTTTATCTAAGCTGTACTCCAAAATATGTTAGCTGTACTCCAAAACTGAGGAGAACCACAGCTTGTTAGTCCTTTGAATGAAAACGGTTGAGAAGCACTGATCTAGTGAACTAAATTTCAAACAATAGAAAAGCTGTCAAGTCACCCAGGAGTTACTTTTCAGATTCCACAACTACTATTACCAAATAAACCTTTCAATCTATTCTACAACTGTCCACTAGGGCCAACAGAGGTTGCTAAAATAGCCTACTAATAAACACAATATGTGTGATCATATCTTCGAGAATTTTTTAAAAATTAGAATACCATGGTTCTTCCCTCTTCAAAGAGTTTCATTCAGTCAATGGTCCTGTTTGAATACTTAACAATTCCTCCATGCCTCCCTCACTTTCTTGCAGTAATCACTGATCTGACATAACTAGGGTAGGAAAAAGCTCTGCAATGGATCACGTTAGATCAGTGATTACTATGAGGAAGGAAGGATAGATGAATGTTAAAGATATTGGAACAGGACCTAGAAATAGTCTGCTGCTTGTCTCGACTCATCCTGTTTGTGTGCAGTGGTTTTTCCAAGACACTGTGTTTGGTTTTGTGAGCCTATTAAAGTACTCGATCAGCACACAGTGTAAACATTATGAACATACATATTCTGAACTACACAAACTACTAGATGTGGACTTCTTCAATAAAGTTAACCTGGTAAAACCTTAGTGCTGGTGGAATGAATCTCAGAAACTCAAATAATAGAGTAATCTTCAGATTTACTACTGTTTTGAAAATTTAACAGCAACGAGTAGTGAACAGCAAGAGAGAACTTATAAAGTTGCTATAATGCAGTAATATTATCAGCTTCCAAACTGCATAAACGTCTGCATTGTGGTGTACAGTTTACCCAAGCAGAAAGCAAAAAAAAGCCAGCATCCATTTTGTAGCACCAAAGTGTGGACTATGTCCTTTAAAGAGGTACCTCTAATAGACTTCAAAATACAAAACATCAGCAAAACTATTTGTTCTTATTAGAATCAGCAAAAGCTGACTAACTTCCAGCTTTGACAATATTGCTGTCCATATTGGCACCACATGTTCTACAAAACTATTTTTCAGAAACTTGTGATTATGACAATTCAGAAACTAGGAATCACACCTAAAAAAGTAAAATGTATTGATATTTTCAGAAAGGAAATATTACAAATTACTTTTGACAAATCTCTTGGTCCCAAATCCCAATTATAACAAATTGTCTCTCTCTCTCGTCATGTGTTTTTTGACCTTAGTGGAAACAAAGAGCCTTAAGAGTCATTGGCAGCAGGGTGGACCCACGTTGTAGTGTTACATGCGTTGTCTTAATCTTTTGTGTGATTGATTTTGTCAAAAATCCCTCAAATCAATCCAAAATGCTTTTCAGTCATTTTAATCTACCACTCAAACAATAGGGGCTTTTAAAACAAAAGTTGACTGGAAAGTATATTGTACAATTGATTTGGACCCTATGGCTGCATTTACACAGGCAGCCCAATTCTGATATTTTGCCCAATTATTGGCAAAAGAGCTAATCTGATTGGTAAAAAGACCAATTAGTGGTAAAACAAAAAACATTATCAGAATTGGGCTGTCTGTGTGAAAGCAGCCTTTTTGTAAAGCATTGATTGTGAGATCATCATTTGATCCATACATTCCCTTGGGCCTAATGATTGTCTAAGCTCTCCACATTTTCTGCACACCTCAAGATTCTTTGTAGAAAAAAGTAACAAAGATCACCCTTAAAAACAGTATCAGTGACGACTGGCAGAAGATCTATAAGAACTCAAATCATGGTCAAGCCCAAGTGACTGGAATGTGTATCTGAACTACTTTTGTACAATAGTGAAATGTCTCATAACATTGGAATGTCAGAAAGCAAAGGGATAAACAATAAATAATTTGACTGGAGTAAAAATTGCTAATCGAAACCCACAAAATATCCTGAAATTCAGTCAAACTTGCTTCAAACCAACCCAATTCAAATACACTTCTGTATATAAACCTCTCACCAACAAAAACCTTTTTACAACCATTTACAATTGCACATTTCGAACTGACTAACTGGCTATAGTGGAAATATCCCTGCTGCTAACCACACTGGCTAGTCGCTACCCCATGGCAAAGCACAGCAAAAACAGTGTCCTTTCTGTAATCATCCACTATGCAGCCCCTCTCCCAATACTATCACCCAGGGTCACATTCAGTAGACATGAAACGGAAGATTCCAACCTCAGCTCGTCCAATCCCATTTTGTGCCTACTGAACACCACCCACCCACCTACTGTAGCCTGGCCTAGCCTCCGTCTAGTCGCTGACTTCGCTGTAGTAGTATTTCTGGGCCGTGTCGCTGAGCATCCAGCCCCCGGCTCTGAACTCCAGGATCTCCAGTAGCAGCAGACGGGCCATGGAGCTCAGGCCCTCCTGCAATAGGAAGCCGTCCCGCAGCAGGTAGAAGAGCTCGTCCATCTTCTGGCCGTTCATCTTCTCCAGCTGGTCCCCGATGCGGTGCAGCTGCAGCACCAGGCAGTCTACCTGGGGGAAGGGAAGGAAAGGAGCACCAATATTAAACAAAGGGGAACCCCCCATTCAGAGATCTAGCCAGTATATAAAGCCAAACATTTTAGCCTGGAGATTTTGTCAAGGGTATGCAGACATTTTCTCTTTGGGTCTCCCTTTAATCTGAAATTGACGCTTGGTAAGTAACCAACATATTGCGCTTTAAGAAGTGAGATAGACAATTGAAATATGTCCACAGTTGAAATACTAAATTGGGTGCTGTGCTATCTTTGACCCACCTCTTCCTCATTGTTCAGTGAGTCGGGCTGAGCCAGCCTTAACAGGCAGTCAAACACAGGATGCACCAGAGCCACCATAGGCATGTTGTTCACCTGGGGAGGGGAAAAACCCAAGGCGCTATTAGCATTTCATTGATAAGAAAGGCTTCTATGCGTATACAATCCATGACGAAACAGCTCAAATAAAACTGGACAGTATTATGCCTGATTCACACTATAGGGATGAAACGTACTGCGCTGGTTTTGGATATTGTCCTTTCACAATGTTCTTTACAGCAATTATGGTGGATGCGTAACCAGGCCAGCCCAGTACAGCTCGGCTCAGCTCAGTCGTGTGAATAGGTTGTTAGATACCTCCAGTCAGAATATGAATTGGGATTCTGGAATGTTTTGGCTCGTACCTTGAGGTAGTCGAAGACGTTGCAGATGAAGGTGACGAAGCAGACCCACTCCTGCAGCGAGCGAAGCCGCGTCTCCTCCCGGGCTACAAACTCCAGCTGCAGTCGGTTGAGCAGGTTCCGCCGGAACACATTGCCGTTGTTGTGCTTGGCCTCTGCCTGCAAGGGGTGGTAGAGAACAAGGTCACACAGCCATAAGCATCTGTATGGTTTCCAGTCTATGGATATATACAACTATGAAGTTAAAGCACTGATCCTGGGGAGCAAAATAGTAGGATTGGGTTGAGTAGGATTGAGTTGCCCCTTGACAATGATAACCCCCTTGATTCCCCCCCCAAGCTGCCCACCCGACAAATGGTTAGGATTTGGAGACGGTAAGCTGATCTTAGATCTCTGAGCTTCTAGAAAGGAGCTAATTCGACTTCGTTTACAGTCAAACTCCATCTTTAGTTCACACCATGTTCTAGGCCTAGGTGTGAAGCCCTAGTCAAACAAGAGAATCAAAGACAACAATTCACCTTACTGTTGTTACCACCATTATTATCAGCCAGAAAGGCCAGTAGCTAAGGTGATTATTACCATACCTGAACGATAGTGTAGCAAATGCGTCCTGCCTCTTTGCTGAAGACCTGGTCCTTCAGAGACTGGTCCACGATGACATTGGACACCTTCTCCAGGTCCACCGTGCTGGGCTCTGAGGGCATAGAGATGGCTAATCCAAAGACAGCCACACTTACACTTGCTACTGGGTCATGTTCAATAGGCACGAAACTGAACATAAACGCTCTGAAACAGGGGCAGTTCTATCTGAGCTTGTCCAATAAGAAATGCTTATTTTTCGTTTTCTGTTGCAAAATGTTTGAAATCTATTGCTACGGTTTGCCCTAATGAACATGACACTGTACTATGTACTCAATTGTAAAAACAAAATATTATCAATCTGACCACATTGATTTTTCCACACAGACTATTATATATATCTTCACAGAATCACTACATGAGACACTGACCTTTCAGGGCCGTTTTCAGCAGCTTCTGGGTCTCCAAGTCGAAAGACTGAATCTTGTAGTCCTCTTTAGGGTTTTCCATATTTTACAAGTGATACTGAAATACAGACAGTGGATACTGACAGACTGTGCTTTCAAACACCGTTTCGAGCTAAATTCATTAGACAGAACTATTTGTCTCAGCACAAAGCTGTCTAAAGCTGTGTTGTCATCAATCTGGCTGACCCCCAGGCCTCTTTCATAGGGGGATATGGGGGATTAAGCCAACATAAGCAGCTCCTCTAATATTGCCCCCCAAAAAGATGTTGGTTTGCATTCAAGCAATGAAGAAACAGTTAGTTAGATTTATCATATCTTCAAATCTCAATAGTTAATTGCCATTTGTGGTGGTATTTTGTATGTTAGAGGATGTATTTCCCACCCATCCATTGTAAAAAGTCACAATGAACGTGCATGACTTCTACTGGGTCAGGAGTTGCATTTTCAGACCAACGAAACCCTATGCAGCAGCCCATCCTCGTTCCCAGGATATATGACATAGCAGCAATACTGGTGCACGACACTAGCAGCAGCCTGTCCCGGTTGCATCAAACTGCACTACATGCCAACCCAGCAATAAATACCGGTACAGGCATAAATATTTCATCATTAGAGATTGGATCGAGCTAGCTAAATTGGCTGCTACTAAACATGCACGCAATTAATGCAAAAAGTCCGTACAATGTAGCTAGCGAGCTAACTATACTAGCGCTAAAATTAGAAACGAAACAAATAGCTAACTAGTTAACGACTTGTTAGACAGATAACGTTAGCTACCTAGCGAATATGTTGGAAACAGCGTTTTGTGGTTGGGTGGCTAGCTAGCTAAGTTAACTGACTTGCTGAGTCTGATTTACAAGGTTTACAAGAGCACAAATTACTTTCGTTCAGGTTTCTGAATATAAACTTAAGTCATGAGTTACTTACTTTCCTAAAGTTCAGTTTGAAGCAGTGATTACATTGTACACACACCCTCCACTGTGCTGTGCTGTTTGCTCCACACTTCCTGAGTGCTTTCTGCGCACGCCAAGGGTATAGGACCAAATGCGCTAGCACTGACGCCTAGAGAGAAGTGTCCAGTGAAGTTAAATAAACCGTTTGCCCATAGAATAAACCCACATTATCAATGTAATTTTAAAAAAAAGTATGTTCTATTCTGACTATATCATTCCAATGAAAGGTTAATTTTCATGCATATTCTTTATTCAAAAATAGTTCAAAATAACAAAACATAAGTACATACAATGTGTTTGATATAAAAACCAAAATAGACTGACACACCTGCCACTACTTTGTACAGTGCATCAGTACCGACACAAATGATACACATAGTACAAGAAATTGTTCCACCAAGTGCAATCTTTCCAACGTTAAAACATACACAGAATAAATATTCAATTTTAAATACAGTGTTAGATATGCTGTGTATAGACATTTACATTTTAGTCATTTAGCAGACACTCTTATCCAGTTGGTCATATATTTAAAACTAACATACACTGTCATGCTTCTTTAGTCATATTTTAGCACTGAGCAAGTCAACAGTAGCCAGTTTAAGAATTTTGCTCAGAATTCCAATGCTGACACACATAAAAGCTGTTACAACAGGTTACATGAAATGAAAGTACAGTACATCAAAGAAAGCAAACAGAAAACAGCATAGATGGTAATTTACTTTTGTTATTAATAAGCATTACCAACCATATATAAATATTGCAACACATTCCACACAGAAAGAAACAAAACCTTGCCCCTCATTTAGAATGTATGATCATTTTGAGTCTATGCTAACATATTAGTTAACACCACAACTTTTAGCTGAAATTGATCGAATCGTCCATATTAAAACGCATTCCATGATAGGATCAACTTTGGCCTGGCTCGGACTCCGTTTCTTTAAGCCTAGATCAAGCATCTCTTTCCCTTCGCTTCATGGTATCTTTCTGTTTTACGTGCAACCATCTGGGCTTATCAATTTAACACACAAAACATTGAAAGGAGAATTTTAAGTGCTTTTCCTCTCATTCCGCAGCTGTCAAAACACAGAAGAACACTTGCAGAGGTATATTCTCGGTACATGATCTAAGACAATGGTAATATCCTCCTTATGCTGCACGTCAAATGTAAGGCAATTCTGCAGGTAGTTTAAAAACAGAATACATTGTTGTTACAAATATGGTAATTTTTGGTGGATGACAAAGGTCTTTAAAAGTAACAGGCATCCAGTCCTCAATATAGACTGTGCAACACAAACCATGAGTATAGTATAAAAAACAAAAAAAGAGTTACATGATAGACATACTTACATATACCTGGGCAAGGTGTTTGAACACTGACACCAAACACATGGCAAGGTGAGGTGACATCATTCCTTATTATGTGTAAGGTCCAGAGCAACACCACACCTTGACTTTCCCAAATTGTAGGATACACCATAGGTAAACAGCAGTAAGGAGACACTTTTTTCTTCCCAGCAATGTTGACTCCTATCACCAGTGGGATGGGGATATGGCATGTACGATGTAGATGTGTGTGATTCTGCCATTCCCTCCTTTCTTTTCCAGTGCTTTGAGTACCTCTGCTTCTTCAGTTGCCCCTAGGCCAGGGTTTCCTAAACTCGGTCCTGGGCCCCCCGGGTGCACGTTTTCATCAAGCTTTGATCATTTGAATCAGCTGTGTAGTGCTAGGGGAAAAAACAAAACGTGTACCCCTTGGGGTCCAGAGGACCGAGTTTGGGAAGGTTAGAATTTGGGGCGGTTGAGCTGATCCTAGATCTGTGCCTAAAAGCAACTTCTACCCAGAGCTCCTCTACTCACTGGCTGCCCTTCAAATTCTGTATTGCATTAAGGAAGAACTCATACCAGAAGAAGGTGAAGCCCGTGGAGACAGCTGCTTTCACTAGGCTGGGAGATAGGCCTTTGAGAAAGCCCCGGAGACCCTCTTCTCTGGCGATCTGGGACACACAGTCTACAAAGCCACCATACTTCCGCACCTGCACACAGTAAGCAGAGACAACACACTTCAATGTCAAGTAGATGGTAGCCCCGTATGACAGGCATCTTGGCTCTAATATAAGACCTGCAGTCAGGCACATGACTGAATGAGACAATGTAATGAGATGTCTACTGTACCTGTCCAAAGTGGGCTCTGGCTTCTTCAAACCCTCCCACCTGCAGTCTCTTTTTGATGAGGTCAAAGGGGTATGTCATTGTCTTGCTGATGACTCCAGCACAGCTTCCACATACCAAGCTTCTGAGGTTTCCTACAATAGAAAGGAAATGGGAAAAAAGCAGTAATGTTCAGGTAGTTTCTAGGCCCCTATCCTTCAGTCATGTTTATGTGTTCAGTCAGTGGTACTGGGCACAATCCAGGCCCTAGTTTCAAAGTTAGTTTCCTGTTTGCTAGGACACAAGCCAAGCCTAGGTTATATTCTAGTTTCTAGTTTCTAGGTCCTATACCCTTAACAGTCATTGGTATATGTACAGTGTTGTGTATTTAAAACATGACCATCCCTACACTGGCCACTGACCTCCGACGTTGCTGTCCTTGGGCGGTGGTCCCATGAGGTTCTTGAGGACCTTATAGAAGAAGAACTGCAGGCCTGCGTAGGGGAACACTGCCACCAGTGTGGGAGCCAGGCCACGGTAGAACCCCAGGGCCCCCTCAGTGCGGTACATGGTGGACACAGCATGTCTCAGGCTCCGATACACCTATGTTACAGATTATACCTGTGGTTAGCTAACAGCTATCAGTAGCACAAGCCAAAGATTAAATGATAACGCTTTAACAAAACCAAAGTGTGGATTGCAGTCACTCCTTGTCCATAGACTGCCTTCAAGGTAAGGAAACAAATATCTAAATAAAGATATATAATTTCGCTAAACTATCCTTTTAAGGGGTTATAAGTAGTTTATTGACAGTTAATTATTATATATGGTTTATTATAAATGTATATTTAGTTTATAAATAATTACTTACTGGTTGAAATTGTGTGGTTGTCGTTTTGGTGCTTGCCAAAATATGGGTTGCACAGTTAATGGACTATTACTGCTGTTGATAACGGTACAATGAAGCTAAAGCTTTTCAATAGATTCATACTGTAGGTTTTTCTTTCTCTCTCACCTTGGACTCTCCCTGAGCTGCAAAGCGTGTTCGCAGTGTGTCTAGTGGCTGGCAGGCTACAGTGGCAGAGCAGGCGGCCAGACCACCACACACAAAGTGCACCCCTGCTGTCTGGCTGTCATATGCGGTGCTCTTGTGGGTCATCTCAGTCAGGAACTCAAAGCTGGCAAACTATGGAGGGACGAATACATAGTCTCAAAACACAGCCTGAAAACACAGCCTTAAAGCACAGATGAAAACAGTTTCAAAACACAGACAAAAACACAGCCTCAAAAACAAAGTCCAGACACAACAGTGCCTAGTTCTACACCACAGCTATGAATTTATTTATTTTATTTATTTTTATTTTACCTTTATTTAACTAGGCAAGTCAGTTAAGAACAAATTCTTATTTACAATGACGGCCTACACTGGCCAAACCGGGACAATGCTGGGCCAATTGTGCACCGCCCTATGGGACTCCCAATCACGGCCGGTTGTGATACAGCCTGGAATCGAACCAGGGGGTCTGTAGTGACGCCTCAAGCACTGAGATGCAGTGCCTTAGACCACTGCGCCACTCGGGAGCCCAATGGAGACCACAGTGATAAAAAAATAGAAATAAAAAAGTGAGGCACATGACTATATAATAATCTATCAACGCACTACCATGTGAGAGATGCTTTTGAGGCGTTACAGGGCAAAGGCTAGCTAGGGACAAGTTGAGTCAGAAAACAACTCTCAGACATCACTTCATTCAACTACGACACTGTGTGACATACAACAGGGTATTCTGATAGGAAAAATGCCCCAGTGTATGTTCCATACCTGTACTGCCCCGAAGCAGACAGAGAGGAGCTGGGCAGGGACATGTCCTTTCCAGAAGGCAGGCAGCCCCTCCTCTGCCAGGATACAGTGTGATGCCTGGAACAGGCCCCAGTACTTTCCTTCGGGGTGCTGGGACGACACACGCTCTATCTGCAACTGTGGATGCAAGGGGCGGCAGGTAGCTTAGTGGTTAAGAGCATTGGGCCAGTAATCGAAAGGTCGCTTGTTCGAATCCCAGAGCCGATTAGGTGAAAACTCTGTCGATGTGCCCTTGAGCAAGGCACTTAACCCTAATTGCTCTGGATAAGAGCGTCTGCAAAATGTAAAAAATGTAAGGAGGGATGTGTAGTGTCAGACAGGGAAAGAGGACATTCTGCTTTAGACATTATTGTGTAGAACGAAATACACATATGCATGCATACAGACAAACGCACACAGTTGTAAGCAATTCCCCAGCAAATGCTGAGCACATCATCAGTGTGTGTTGCCATGGCCACCAGTGTGTGTTGCCATGGCCACCAGTGTGTTGTGAGGAACTGGGCATGCCCAGTGGTGTCTGAGGGTTTGGGTGTGGTGCTGTGACTCATATCAAAAGAATGCAGTACAACCAAACAATGTTCAGTAGCAATTAAACAAAACTTCTTCAGGACTTGATGTAACTGAGTCGCACACAACACTGAGCTTTTTGGTTTGAATCATAAAAGCCTGGGCAGAGATTAGCATGCACAAATAACAGAGTTGTATGTTTACCAGAACCACTAGGGTTAGGCCACATATAGTTTAAAATGTCTGTCAATGTTTAGGCCTACATTATGTTGCATTTAATTGTGTAGTTAGTTAGTGCCCAAAGTGGCCATGCAACTAAAAGTTGCACCACAATAATATCCATCTGATGATGCTTACTGTACCTGGAATCTTATCTTGATGACATCCAGGGGGCTGATCAGGGCTCGGGTCACCATGCCTGCGGCCGACCCAGCCAGGGCTGCATCTTCTGGGGCTAGAGTAGCGCCCTGAGACCCTGGGTCATAGCCCACCATGATGACTCCAAAGCAGCCTCACCAGAGGACCTCAGGTCTGGGGGAGAGAAAACATGTTATACATTTGACATTTAGTCATTAGAGACGCTCTTATCCGGCGACTTACAGGAGCAATAGGGTTAAGTGCTGCTCAAGGGCAATCGACATGCTGTCCACCTGCGCTGCTCGGGGATTAGACCGCGACCTTTCGGTCACTGGCACAACGCTCTTAACCACTAAGCTACCTATACAGCACAGGAGGTTGGTGGCACCTTAATTGGGGAGGACAGGCTGGAGCGAAGTAAGTGGAATGGTATTCAATACATCAAACACATGGTTTGATGCCATTCCATTTGCGCCGTTCCAGAGGTTTGATGCCATTCCATTTGCTCCATTCCAGACATTATTTTGAGCCGTCCTCCCCTCAGCAGCCTCCACTGTATACAGGGTGACTAGTAGTTTCTCTGAGAGACAGTCACTGTAAATATGGACAGTCTATCGTGATTCACGAGGAATGATTGAGTATGTTGGTATTTTTATTGGAAGCCAATTCCGTATCACTTACTTATTTGTGCATCACTGCCACTAGAGATACAGTTAGTAGCTGTATAAAAGAGTCATCAGGCACCTTCCACTGATCAATCATGTGTTATGGATTTATTCATTGGTAGACTTTTCTCTGTCTAACCGGAAGTTGACTTTACAGATACTGACGTAACACCTGCATCTAGCTGACAGCTACTGTAATTTACTGTTGTTGATTAGCCTAACTTGCTAGCTAACTAGCTACAAAGTTATTGATCAACCCTCCCTCCTATTCAGACACATGTGGAGATCGCACACGTTGACTGCCATTGATGATCACGTCCTTCTCTTCGGTACATTAGTTGCAGTAATAATTCATAGTAAATACAGTAGCTATTATTCAGAAAATATCATAGAGGACAGGACCTTGACATAACTTTGAGGATAGCTATCTTAACCACTCAGTCGTCCTGGTTTACTTCAAGCTAGCTCGCAATTTATAGCTAAAATGCGTAAAACTGTCGACTCACTTTTATGTGCTGCTCCTCCATGAAAATGTGTGAAAGAATAGAGATGGTGAAGGACAGGTAAGCTACATGTTCTTCTTCTCTTCATACAATTTAGCTTACTCAAACCAACCTGGGGACAGGAGAATGGTGGAAATCGAACCAATCCGCATGGAGGGATGGATCACGTGACCCTGCAGTCCCAACTGCATTACATGTGTTCCACTTTATGACACAAGATGTCGATGTTGTTAGGTAACCATTTCAACATTCAGTACTGTATCACAATGTCTGCATAGTTTCAGGTAAAGCACATTGTACAAGTCATCAAATAAATAAAAACAAAACAGTCCACAGGTTGATGCTCTAAAAAACGGTTGTTAAAAGTCCAATAACATTGATTTATTGCACAATTTTCTGTTTTATTGACTGTGAAAGGGAAAAAAACAGTCTGTGACCAAGACTCATTATACAGTAACAATCATGTTTATATTAAAGTACAGCAGCTCAATAAAATCCGACCTCAAAGTCTGTTTAAATCCCAAGGTCATATAGATCATGTGACATTTATTATAATAATTTTAGAGGCAACGCTGGTGAGAGAGAACAATTAGTCTAGTTTGTTGGCTCTGTTTCAATGTAGTGTGGAAGGAGGTGGTCAATGCGCATAGTAACCTTGAGACCTGAAGAGTTATGTTAGCTACCAGAGTGCCTTTAGCTCAGTGGGCTAAGGTGGTATTGAGCCATGCAGATTAACCTGATTCAATACATGGTCGCTCACACATACAGTGGGGAGAACAAGTATTTGATACACTGCCGATTTTGCAGGTTTTCCTACTTACAAAGCATGTAGAGGTCTGTAATTTTTATCATAGGTACACTTCAACTGTGAGAGACGGAATCTAAAAAAAAAAAAAATCCAGAGAATCACATTGTATGATTTTTAAGTAATTAATTTGCATTTTATTGCATGACATAAGTATTTGATACATCAGAAAAGCAGAACTTAATATTTGGTACAGAAACCTTTGTTTGCAATTACAGAGATCATACGTTTCCTGTAGGTCTTGACCAGGTTTGCACACACTGCAGCAGGGATTTAGGCCCACTCCTCCATACAGACCTTCTCCAGATCCTTCAGGTTTCGGGGTTGTCGCTGGGCAATACGGACTTTCAGCTTCCTCCAAAGATTTTCTATTGGGTTCAGGTCTGGAGACTGGCTAGGCCACTCCAGGACCTTGAGATGCTTCTTACGGAGCCACTCCTTAGTTGCCCTGGCTGTGTGTTTCGGGTCGTTGTCATGCTGGAAGACCCAGCCACGACCCATCTTCAATGCTCTTACTGGGGGAAGGAGGTTGTTGGCCAAGATCTCGCGATACATGGCCCCATCCATCCTCCCCTCAATACGATGCAGTCGTCCTGTCCCCTTTGCAGAAAAGCATCCCCAAAGAATGATGTTTCCACCTCCATGCTTCACGGTTGGGATGGTGTTCTTGGGGTTGTACTCATCCTTCTTCTTCCTCCAAACACGGCGAGTGGAGTTTAGACCAAAAAGCTCTATTTTTGTCTCATCAGACCACATGACCTTCTCCCATTCCTCCTCTGGATCATCCAGATGGTCATTGGCAAACTTCAGACGGGCCTGGACATGCGCTGGCTTGAGCAGGGGGACCTTGCGTGCGCTGCAGGATTTTAATCCATGACGGCGTAGTGTGTTACTAATGGTTTTCTTTGAGACTGTGGTCCCAGCTCTCTTCAGGTCATTGACCAGGTCCTGCCATGCAGTTCTGGGCTGATCCCTCACCTTCCTCATGATCATTGATGCCCCACAAGGTGAGATCTTGCATGGAGCCCCAGACCGAGTGTGATTGACCGTCATCTTGAACTTCTTCCATTTTCTAATAATTGCGCCAACAGATGTTGCCTTCTCACCAAGCTGCTTGCCTATTGTCCTGTAGCCCATCCCAGCCTTGTGCAGGTCTACAATTTTATCCCTGATGTCCTTACACAGCTCTCTGGTCTTGGCCATTGTGGAGAGGTTGGAGTCTGTTTGATTGAGTGTGTGGACAGGTGTCTTTTATACAGGTAATGAGTGGAGAACAGGAGGGCTTCTTAAATTAAAACTAACAGGTCTGTGAGAGCCGGAATTCTTACTGATTGGTAGGTGATCAAATACTTATGTCATGCAATAAAATGCAAATTAATTACTTAAAAATCATACAATGTGATATTTTGGGTTTTTTGTTTTAGATTCCGTATCTCACAGTTGAAGTGTACCTATGATAAAAATGCCAGACCTCTACATGCTTTGTAAGTAGGAAAACCTGCAAAATCGACAGTGTATCAAATACTTGTTCTCCCCACTGTATGTGCAAGTCCAGGATCATATAGACATGAAAAACACCTCAAATTGGCAATACTATATATAGACTCTATATGAAAAGAATGCTATGTTGATGATAATGTATAGTCCTGTTAAATGCTGAAGGTCAGTGTATTGTGTCTGTGCCAGTGTTTGGTCTGTTCTCCTTGCCCCCTGCAGTGTCCAAACGAGATAAGCAGGAACTTGTGTAATCCGTTATGTCCCAAAGTTCATGTCCAGCCAGGCCCCAGCTTTGCTCACCCCCCCCCCCCCCCCCCACACACACACACACACACACACACACACACACTCACACAAGATCTCACAGTTTGACCAATTTGACTTCAGATTCCGGTGTTTGTCCACATTTCTCCAAACGTCAAATGTTGAAGTTGCTCCAAACGTCACATTTCGTGGTGTTCTGGACACCCCAGGTTGCACCCCTGCTGTCACAAGTTTAGGCATTCATTTAGAATGGTTAAGTTAAGGGTTAAGGTTTGGGATAGGGTTAAAACATAAACAACTCCACGGTTAAATGTAGGCCTTCATTCCGAATGGTTAAGCGTTAAGGTTTGGGATAGGGTTAAAATAAAAACAAGTGTCTATCACTGGGATTGAACATGCAACCTTCAGAGCTGGAGCTGGCAGTTTACGCCCATCTGCCACCCCAGTCCACAACGTCCAAGCCTACTTGATGGTAATAGCGCTCACTGTTGCCCATAATGGCCGGTTTCTGGTACCTGGATGGATGTCGGATTTCAAAGGGGATCTTGAGCGACCTGGCTGCACACACACACACACACATATTTACATTACATTTTAGTCATTTAGCAGACGCTCTTATCCAGAGCGACTTACAGTTAGTGAGTGCATACATTATTATTTTCTATTTTTTTTCATACCCCCCGTGGGAATCGAACCCACAACCCTGGCGTTGCAAACGCCATGCTCTACCAACTGAGCTACATCCCTGCCGGCCATTCCCTCCCCTACCCTGGATGACGCTGGGCCAATTGTGCGCCGCCCCATGGGTCTCCCGGTCGCGGCCGGCTACGACAGAGCCTGGATTCGAACCAGGATCTCTAGTGGCACAGCTAGCAGTGCGATGCAGTGCCTTAGACCACTGTGCCAGTCAGGAGGCACACACACACACACACACACACACACACACACACACACACACACACACACACACACACACACACACACACACACACACACACACACACACACACACACACACACACACACACACACACACACACACACACACACACACACACACACACACACACACACACACACACACACACACACACACACACACACACACACACACACACACACACACACACACACACACACACACACACACACACACGCAAGCAGGTATGTACACACAAACGCAAACGCACACAAACAAACATATATACACACATTTGAAACACATGTACACACATTTGACTCATGGGGCGGCGCACAATTGGCCCAGCGTCGTCCAGGGTAGGGGAGGGAATGGCCGACAGGGGATGTAGCTCAGTTGGTAGAGCATGGCGTTTGCAACGCCAGGGTTGTGGGTTCGATAAAATAATGTATGTGCTAACTGTAAGTCGCTCTGGATAAGAGCGTTTGCTAAATGACTAAAATGTAATGTAAATGTAATTTGGCTCCCGAGTGGCCCAGTGACCTAAGGCACTGCATCTCAGTGCTTGAGGCGTCACTACAGACCCCCTGGTTCGATTCCAGGTTGTATCACAATCCGGACGTGATTGGGAGTCCCATAAGCCGGCGCACAATTGTCCCAGCGTCATCCAGGTTTTGCCGGGGTTGGCAGTCATTGTAAATAAGAATTTGTTCTTAACTGACTTGCCTAGTTAAATAAAGGATTAAAAAAACATGTCCTGCCAGGACTCAGCTGTGCTCTCACACACACCCTCTACGTGGCATGATGGATGGGGAGGCAGATGAACATAACGCCCACTGGATGTAGACAGATAAAAAAACAGGGATGAATTAAGCATCTGACTGTTGAAAAATAGTGGTCAAGTTATATTTTACTAGAAACAATGGCTATATATTATTAATTTAAAAGTAAAAAAAAATGTATGTACCAATTCCAGATTGCTCCTTTAATGGAGAATGCATTGGTTGTGGTTTAGCGTTCAACTTCACCTGTCCAAGGAAAACTACCATATTTGGTCCATCAGTTGGATAAATCAGTATTGCTGATGGAAACTTTCAACAAGTATGAGTCTGAAAGGAAAATATCCCATGGTGATATTGGATTTATTTTGATGTGGTGGACAGTATTCACATGTTATTCTACATTGGTTTTACCTTCAGTTTATTCCATGCATTTACAAAACTCTACTTCATTGCACTGCTAGAAAGAGAGAGAGAGAGAGAGAGGGGGGGGGGGAATAGCCTATATGCTACAACCTGGATGCGTTTAACCTGGATGCGTTTTTAGAAGTGATGAGAGACGTGCGAGAGTGAAGATCCTATCCAATCCTATAGACAAGTGTGACAGTGTTTTCATACTGAGCAGAGGACAACATTGTGTTTTCATACTGAGCCGAGGACAACATAGGTGCTGCTGTGTGATTCTTTTAATCTGGATTAGTGTTTTTCTCCCTTGCCAGGACTCTAATAATCAGATTGTTCAGCGTTTGCTTGGCGCTTCTTCAAGAGGGAGGAGAGAGACGCGAAGCAAGGGCTCCTCGGTTATATGGTGGTGTCTCGGCGCATACTGTTACTGTTCATGCTGGTTCATGCTGGTTCA